AGCGACTCCCTTTGTCAGCACAGTTCTGATGGGTTTGTCTTGTTCAGATAAGGGTTTAAAGATGTCATTGCATTTGATTGGTGTGTCCTCTGTTGCTGTTCTCCTGAGCGCTGCCTCAATCTGTGTGGCCTCATGTTCATTACTGACCTCTCCACTGTCTCCCTCTGTGATGTAGAGCTCTGTGTAGATCTCACTGAGAAGTGTTAGGGCTTCCTGGTTTGTTATTACCTCATTCAAACACTGAAACTTCTGTTTCAGATTTAATTTGAAGTCTTCTTCAAGTTTAGTTCCAGCAGATGCGGAGTCAGGTCTGCAAGAAAAAGGCGTAATGAGCAATATACAAGTTTTTTGTCACAGGACAGAAAAGTTCCGCTCCATTCAACCAGTCATCTGTAGTAATGTGAACACTGCCTTAGACTTTTCATAAGAGTTGACACAAATTAACCTAACAATCTAAAATTGAGCATTTTGTGGATGTTTGTGTGATTTCTGACCTGTTAGAAAATATAACACATGTAGGTGATATATCAGATAAAAATTATACATATCACTGCTTAGCGCAGCACTTTCAGTAAATCAAAGAGAGTTGTATGTACAAAAGTGGAAAATTATACTATTTATACTACATATACTATACCTACTGTCATACACAGAATATCACAGAAAGATGTGAATATTTGCAGAAAATTTAAATTTGTACAGTTATTGGAATAATTGTAATAAAGTAAAGGGGATTGCTAGTTTAGTTTAAGTGTGAGGAGTCCACTGTGGTTAATGAGCTACTGCTCTGGGGAAGAAGCTGTTAGTGTGTCTGGCTGTGCTTGTTTTGACTGAATCTTCTGCCAGAGGGGAGTAGCTAGAAGAGGTGATGTGTAGGATTAGAGGGGTAATCTTGCTTCATCACTCTGCTGTTGTAGATGTCCTGAAGCATTGGCAGGCTACATCCAATGATCCTCTCCACTGTCCTGATTATGCATTGGAGTTTGGTTCGCTCTTGTGAGGTGGAGGAACCAAACTACATAGTTATGGATGATGTAAGGATGGACTCCATGATCGCAGTGTAGAACTGGATCATCAGGCTCTGCAGCAGGTTCACTTCCTTTAGCTGCCTCACAAAGAACATTTCATTCTGTGCTCTCTTGGCTATAGAGGGTATGTTTCTTTCTCAGTTGATGTTCCTGAATATTAATGGTGAGGGAAAACTAGATTCTTGGATGCATCGCGATGCGGACGTGGACAATTCCGAATCGATTCACAAATGTCAAAAAATCGATTTTCTAAATATTTAATTTATAATGTAATGTCGATGGAACGTAAAGGCGGAACTTGGAAGTGCGGAAGTGCGGAAGTGCAGCACCCGGACAGTCTGTGATGTGCACATAACAAAAACACAACTGGATAAGTGAGAAATCTGACTGGCACCTTCTGCAAGCTAGGTTAAGTCAGGAGTCACAACACAAATGTTAAGAAGAGCCATTTTATCCTTTCAACAAAAATCAAACCATCTTGGGAGCCACAACATTTAATATCCAATATGTTTCAATATGTGCTAATGTCCTTGTATAGGCTAAACAATATAAAGAAAAATACAGACTTACTTTACTCTGCTTTATGCTTTAGCTCGGCTATAGCCGCTTTCCGACAGGAAACTTTTCCTCAAACATTGAATATTTTCTTGACTGTTTTACGAGGCTGAAGTCGGTTCTCATTTACCAGCTTCTTGTCCGTATTTTTCCTGTTCCACCTTAAATGGCACCTGAAGTGCCAAAAAATAAATGCGGAAACATTTAAGGTGGAACAGGAAAATTCTAGTCTTTTGTGTGTTTAGGAGCAGGTAGTTGCTGCTGCAGCAAGAGACCAGCTACTTGACTCCTTTTCTGTAAGGAGACTCATCACCATTGGCCATGAACCCACCACAGCGGTGTCATCTGCAACCTTTAGGATCTTCACAGCTGGTTCTTTAGAGATACAGTCATTGGTATAGAGACTGAGAAAAGGGGAGACAGTGCTGAGGGTCCAGGGCTCTGACGTGTGTTGTCCTAGCTGCACCTTCTATCTCCTGTTATCACTAAAAATACGTTCCTAAACTTTTTAAGTATGTCTTTATTGAAAAGAAACATCAAGTTTGTTGTATTAAAGTTTTATTTAATTATAGTACTATGGTATGGTACTACTCTTATTTTATTCAATTTTAGTTCCAAAAAAGTTAAATTCTTGAAACGTCATATATAGAACTGTCTACACAGGTTATCTTGTAACACTTTATAATAAGAGGCTCCTACAAATAGCAACATGTTAATTTGTTAATGATGGTTAATACTATTAATATAATAATTATGTAATTGTTAATATTGTGTATTTTGTATTATTATTGTGTATTGTTATTGTTATTATTATTATTTTTATTATTGTGTATCAAGTCCTACCATTTGAATTTTTGACCACTTTGTGACTTACTCTGTGAATAATTAAAAGCACTGTAAATCATTTTCATGAATGTATTATTTTCAAATATTGTAGCATCCTGCTATTGGCTGGTGCTGGCTTTTAAAAAAAAGGACTAATGCTGTTTAATGTCGTTGTTTTTTAGTTAAAGGTGTGTAGTATGTGTTTATTAGGTTATTCTATGTTGGGGAGTGGGGTTTTGTGAGAGTGTTTTGTGTTCTGAGTTAGTCATCATGAGGGTAAAGTGTATAGCTAATGGTGAACTCCCCTGCAAATCCAGTGCTTGTATGTGCTTTTCTGCCTTGTTGTTACAAGCTTCTGATTCCCATGTTTATTGGAGAACAGACAAAAAATATTAATGTGCATTGCCGTTAGCTTAGCACTAACATACTACTAGAATCCCCTAGGGGTGCTAGCTGAAAACAGCTCTAATATACAGACATTTTTCCTCTCAGTGTTTTGACAGAGTTTGACATTAATGGTCCAATCTGATAGTTTAGCTACACAACAATTTTGCAAGACTAGATGTACATTAAACCCTGAGGAACTATATGATTTCTATATTAAAAAGTGGTATTAATTTTGAAATGTCTGGTTACTTTTCATAACAGCAGATGTGGGTTCGTTCAGTAATTTATGGGAGCTATTACCTGTATTCAGATGAGGGGTCTTCATCTTTGAACATTGGTGGAGTTTCCATAAACCTGTCACTCTTCAAGCATGGACAGCTGGATTCTGGAGAGTCTGATCCATTTCCCAGGGCTTCACTACAAAAGAATATAGAAATTACTCCAGTGATTTATGTACAGCCTTTAAATTTCTCGCCTTATTTTAAAGTGATGACATCTTATTTCAACAAAAGGTTCAGATTATTTGTAGTAAAAGAAGCACGGAAATAAGAGGAGAACAAAATAGAAAATGTAAATTTGCTGTGTTCCTCTTCCTTCATTTGACTAAATTATGATGTATTAAGTAGTTTTACAACATAAACACAAATAATACTGAAAATGAACTGGCACAAAACAATCAAACTGAGCAGTGAGGGAAACAATGCTCATTACAGCCTTTCTCACTAACAGATGTTCACAACAGATGTTTAGTCGTCAATCTGACAGAAAAAATGCATTTTTATTTTAGTAAACGATTCAGTCCACACTGGCTAGATGCACATCCTACATCCCGTAGGTCTTCTGACCTGTTATGTTTTTTATTTTGCACACTGTGTCTATGGCATGAGTCAGTGAAGAGTGAACTCCACAGAGATGCTATTTATCAATCTTTCTTTAAACTTAGAAAACACTTAGGGTGACATTCAGTGAAGTAACAAAGGTAAAACACAGGAGAATATCAAACCAATAAAAAGGGCTAAATAAAACAACTATTTGTAACTAATATAGTTACAAATGCAAACAAATTATAATCAAGCATTAAATTTAAACTGTAAATATTAAGAACAGAATGTGTGTTATGCTACTTCATTAATGAATGATGAACATGAGCTGAAGGAAAACTAATGAATGAATGTAACAGAAACAATAAAAGATGAAGCTCTACTGTAACAGTCAGGAGCTGATGTGCTTCAGGAGAGGCTTAATACTCAAAGAGAATCAACATGATTTCACGTATGTGTGGAGAGCTGAGAGCTCCAGGAGGCCGAGCCATTAAAGACCCAGTGTGGATTGGACGCACAACTAATTACTTCACTTACACTTTGCTTATATGATGCTAATGTGTCACATCTGGTGTTCACTTGTCACACTTCTCATTCAAAAAGCTTCCCCTATTTGAAGAATTATAAAATCCACCAGGCTTCACAGCCAGCTGAAGACTCAGTGTTGTCTTCCTTTAAACTACCAAAACCAACCACAGCAACCCATATAATCTTCTGGCCTTGATTACGAGCTCAGTTATGTCACACATGCACATTTTAACCCGGGGGTGTCCAATCTTATCCACAGAGGGCTGGTGTGGCTGCATGTTTTTACTCCAACAAAGCAGGAAATCACCTGATGAAATGTTTGAAGACTAAGCCCAACTGATTAAACAAGTGGAGTCAGGTGAGCTCCGGCTTATTTGGAGTGAAAACCTGCAGAAACCTAAGATTAGACATGCCTATTTTAACCTGTTACACACAAACAATGGAAATTCAATTCATTCACAAATAAAGATCCACCAGTCTTTATAGAAATGTAGCTGATTATGTCTGATCTCTTCTGCAGAAACAGATTAGAGTTCAACATGAATGTTTCCTCTGTAACAGCTTATCATGTTACTGGAAAAAAACAGCCCTGGTTTCATTTGTAAATGATACTAATAAGTAAAAATGCATGCAGTAATAGACATTATTAAAAACATTACCAATTGGTCATCTTAATAATCTTCTTTTTAAAAAATCCTTGTAGTTTGTCTTTACAAAGACAACAGCAAAAACAACAGCTACTGATGAGTATGATTTGAGTGGAATGTCCTGATTATTCAGTTTAAATCCCTACACAGAATCCAGAATAGAGCTGAGTACTGGAGAGTCTGAGGGCTGAACTGTGAGGAGCTGTTACCTGTGTCCAGATGAGGGATCTCCATCTTTTAACAGTGGTGGATGATCAATAGACCAGTGACTCTTCATGGACACACAGCTGGGAGCTGGAGAATCTAATCTCTCCTGTTGGACTAGACTGGAATACAATATAACAGAAATATTACATTAGACATTCATTTTGTTATTAAAAATATAAATATAACGCAAAAATATTACATAATCTCACTGCATTAACAGTCACAAAGAGGTAATATGACATAAGAGAGAAAAAATCTCTCACTCGGAGTGTTTGTTGGAGGTGGAACTGTCTTCCTCACACTCCTCAGAGAGGCTCATCCTGCTTTTCTGGTCTAACGAAACCTGTCAGACTTAAAAGAAGAACAACTCTGTTCAATAAACAGCTCTGAAAAGCTCACAGAAACAGCCAGTAAAAGCTGTAATTAAAAACAGACAAATGTGGACATCATGAATTAGCAGTAAATTAAAATACAGAAGCAGCTAAACTCATTTACTGTGTACACATTCACAGAGGCAGGAGCTCAGCAGACGACACAAGAAACACAGAGTCAACAATTACTTTTAATTTTACTGGTGAAGAAGAAAGAAAGTGACTTTAATGAGAGTCAGATTAATGTGAATTGCAGCAGCTGCTGATTTAGCTGTTGATCTCTTCTTCTTTATAAAAGTTATTAAAATATTCATATAAAGCTCTTACCTCCACAAACAAGATCCTACAAAAAGGCTCTTTAACTGAATGTGTCGTCCTTTTGTGTGTATTATATCTCATATCATAATGTCATCATGGCTTCCAAAAAAAAAATATTGTTCCTCTCAAATCACCAAGTGGTGTTGAACAGTGGAGAAACACTTTCAGCTTCACCTGAGAAACACGTCAGCTCTCTCCTCCCTGGTGTCACATTTCATAGACCTGCACTTCAGCGTCACATTCAGCTGGAACTCGTCTCTCTGACACTCTGAATTTGTCTGACTGACAACCGTATTAAAATGATCAGTGAGTGATTCTTAATGTAATAATCAGTAACACTACAAAACAGTTCCTTAATGAATGATTAAGTACTTATTAACTAAGCACTGGGTAATGAATTAACATCATATTCACAATAACAGTCAAATCCCTTACAAATTATGTTACCAGACCTTCTGTGGTAAAAACATGGCATGACTGGCCCAACATGAGGTAACACACTGTGGTCCTGCAAGGGATTTGAGTGGGCATTCCAAAGTGCAGGCTGCCCACAAAAAAACCCACACTGGGCCTGTTTGGGATTTGTATGCTGTAAGCTTGCCAACAAAGGGCCAATGTGTGCTTGTTTGCTGGGTTAAATGGACAACATCAGGGTCTGAGCCACAAACTAGTCTACCAAAATTCCTTCTTCTTAAGATTTCATGTTAACTAGGAATAACATTTGTGTGAATATTGAAACGAACTCTTACTCTACCAGCACTTTTAGGTCATTTTTAGGTGCTCAGATTGTCTTTTTTCAGGCAAATGTGAAGTACATTAATTTAATTATTTATAGATCGGGGTCTGAGCTCTGTGACTTTAGGCCAATGAATGTTAGTGATGCTGGTATTTGCTTTTATTCTCAGAAATTCATCAGAAACAAACAACTATTTTTATATTATCTATCAGACTATAACATTTTTTGGCTTCATCTTGTTTCACTACTTCTTACTCATATGTTTTTGATATTGTTGGTTGCATTAAAGTCACATTAAAGAGGAAAAAAAAATTAACACGACTCATTTTATTATTAGGAAAAATACTACGATTTTAAACATGATGTTTTATATTTGCTGTATATAAAACTATTAATATTAAAGGCCAACATTTCACAGCATTGAGATCAGCACTGAGTTTTTAACAAGTCATACACAAAGTGTGAACAAGCGTACTGGACCTGCTGGAGTTCACATTAAACCTGCTTGAACACATTTATATTAGACCAATAACAGCATTTAACAGAAAACAAACCCATTTAGAGCTAAGACCAACCTGTTTGGAGTTCAGTCTGCAGGAAGACACATTTGCAGTGGAGGAGGAGAGTCTCTGTGTAGGTACCATTTAATTCATTCATGCAGTGAATCTGCTTAGAGCGGCAGATAAACTACAAACCCCATATAGTTACCAGTTCATACTGAGACATCTTGTGCAGCTACGAGGCTGAAGTAGCTTCTTATTCACCAACTTCAGTGGTGCTGCAGTTACATTCTGGCACCTGTAGATGGCGACATAACACTGAGAATCACTCTGTATAGAATCTGTATGTGTATAAATGCTGAATAAAAGGATTAAACAGAAACACAGAGACTGTCCGAGTTGTGTTTTTAGGGAATCTATTTCAGAAAGTCTGAACCATTTTAGAACTTAACATTGTGTAAAAGAAATGCGTAAATAAGAGAAAAGTAAAGGGTGAATTTGTGCTTTTCTGCTACCGTCTTACCTTCCAATCATTAAACATGTCAAAATGCTGAATTGTAAGAAATTTTACCAAATAACTTCTTAAATGATCTTTTAAACACAGCATAACAGACACACAGTGAGACTGCATTATCTGCTTGAGACAGCGGCTGTGACAGCACTGAATCACCTTCTTATTCACTAATGCTGCTTCAGAAACATCTAAAGAAATGATACTTATAATAACAGATTATCACACAATCTGAATTATACATTTTACAGAGACCACAGAATGTGAGGTGTTGGTGTTTCTGCTTATGCACTGTGACTTTATCTCCTGAATTTTCACAGCGTCTCAAAATCTGTCTACATATTTGAAGCACAAAATATCAGATTATCAAACTCCTGAAGAGGAAGAAATTTTACTGAAGGATTATTCAGTTGTGACTCTGTGAACAGAACAATTTGAGACTGTAAGATGTGTAAACTGTATTTTTGCTTCTTTACTATGACATTATTTTCAGATTGACAGAAAGTCTCACACACCTCACACTTACATCTAACACAGCGTAACAGAGAAAAACATACTGTAGGATTTCGATATTCTGTGATATTGTCCTTTAGATGTGACTGTAAGACATATTTGAGACATTTTGAAGATCAGTAGATAAAGTCATAACAAATAAGCAGAAAACACCAATAACTCACATTCTATAGTCTCTGTAAAGCATCTAATACCAGATTGTGTGATAGTCTGTTATTTTATGTCTGGGTCTGAGTGTCATTTCTTTATGCCTTTTGACAATCAAGAAGTCAGAACACAGCAAGTGCCGGAGCGGGTAATCAAGAGAGTCAAGAGAGTGACCAGTGGGCCGGGAGAGTTTTGAGCTCATTACTGTAAGTTAACGTATAAACTCACACATATAAGCACATAAACACTCAGACAAACTATAAATGTTACATCCAAGTGTGTATCTGTAGTAATTGAGGGGTTAAACCAGCAGCCCCCACCTCAAGTGGTTGAGCCCCGGTTTGCTGATTGTAACTGAGTTTCGTACAGTGGACAGAGATTAGATGAAGCTGAAGTTAACAGCTAATTCTCATTTCCTGTTCCACCTTAAATGATGTAGCAATTACATTCAGACATACATCCTGAGTGCAGCACTGTTTAAGGTGAAAAGATGGGCGACTGTGTGAATCTGGTACTGACTGACACAACAGAGTTCATCACATTCTTTGCATTACTGATGTAGTAATTTTCATATGTCAATCATGCTAAGATGGACAGCAGTGAAAGAACAGCAAAAAACAGAAGACAAGAATGAAAACCTACTTAACGAGGATGAGGACACATCCAAGCAGGTGGGTAGTGAGAAATGCTGACCTTGACTTACTTAGCATTAGTTCATAGCTGTGATTACGTTATATTTAGGATTTTTAGATTTAAGATATATTTAAGTTTTCACCAGTTTTCATTTTATCACTAGCACAGCCACCTAAGATATCTCAGTGTAGCATATAAATCATAAATAAGAGTAAGAGTTTATTATATAAGTTGTGTTTATTAGTTTAATACATTATGTTTTTATGTTGTTTGTCCTGCTTACAAGCTCTGCTTCACATTCTGTTCAGTTTTGAGGTGTAAATCATGTTTTAATCAACAACACAGCAACTAAAATTAAATAAGCCGCTAATTTAGCAGTTGTTTTTTTATTCTAAAAAGTGCTTTTATACAGAATATATATTACACATCCCTCAGTGGGGTATGAAGTAATCATTTCAATACTGCATATACTGCATGAGGTGTAATAAACAAATGAACATATTAACAGATCTGCAGTAAGCGCAGACCATGGCTTCCCCAAATACCTTCCCTCAAAAGTGAATACAAACAAAAAGGCGCACTCTTAAGTGTAGCTGGTAACACTTTACATTTAAGATTAATTTGCATATACATTTAAAATTATATTATACATTTATGATTCTCAATTGTCTTTCAAGAGCCATTATCTATATGGTATTATATATTACAGTGTACAGTAAGCATTAGTTATTTCTTAGTAACTGATTATGTACTTAGTAATTATTAACTAGAGTTCACTGTTAACTGATAGTTTTGTTTAGTTTATTAGTTCAGAGCTTATTTACTCATTAACCGTGTAATAACTGCTTTTTATTACACTGCTAATAAACTGACGTGTGTTTACTCATAAAAAGTCAACATAAGAACTAACTAGTACTAATGATGTAATCTGTTAATAATCTTTTAATCTTCTGATTTACTGCTTTTAATTAATGAATAATGTGTGTGCTTCCCAGTAAAGTGAGGTCAGTCCATCTCCAGACATCCAGTCTTCATCTCTACCATCAGAAATGGAAGATTAAGAAATGCAAACCTGAATTTACATTAAAAATCACATTCAACACTGTTCAATACAGAACCTTACATTAGACTCTCAAAACAAGTAGGTAAAAATAAATTCCAGAAAATTTTCAATAGAAAACAAAATTTCAAAACTTTTCAACTCAGCTTTGTGTTTTGTAAGTGCAAACAGCTGCATTAGCGAGATTTACTGAATAATAACTGTACACATCCTGTACTGATCATAAAGCCGAAAGAAAAAAGAATCAAATTCTGCATAAAATGTATAAAAACCTGTAAAACAAAATCTTTTAGTCTGTCACTCGTAAACAACAGATGTGTGAACATAAAGAGTGAAGTACGATGGAGTGTGTGTGCTGTTAGGACAGAACATATTCAAAACATCATTATCTGTTCAATGTTTTGATATTAAATAAAAATAATCTTTGGTGAACTGACTGAACATAAAATACTGACTCAGATGACCAGTTTAAAGGGTCACTCTAACACAGGAGCCACACTGCATGCAGCGCGGTCACTGCTTCTGATTTAAAATGAGCTTCTCTTCATATAACTGTGCTCTCATGGAAACTGAAGAAAAACAAAACCGCAAATAAAGGAAGCCTCGATCTCGACTGGTACAAACACAGATAAACAAAAACATTTCTTCTGGTTTCTACATACAAAACATCATGACCTGTGACTAGTTTACAGTCTGTTTTCTTCACTGGACAAAGTATCACATGGTCCATCTGTTACCTGAGTAGAAGATTCTTCCTCTCTGAATATTATACATTCATTTTTTAGTGTTGTTTACTATTTTATTTCTCATGAAGTTTTCTGTACACAAACACACACGTCCATCTAGTCCACACACTCATACTGTATTTACACACACTGTGTCTCCCTCTGCTGCTGGAGCTCCTCACACATGTTCAGAATCACTTCATTTCTTCATGATGTCGTCTCTTTGGTGATCAATAATACATATCGTCAACATTACAGACTGAAAAACAGAACAAACCAAATAAAAGAATACAACAAAAAACAAAAAACACTATTTTCAATACAGAATTAGTCAGTATAATTACTCAAGTTACTCATTTAAAAGATGTAGAACCAGTTTCCTACATGTAGCTTAATCACAGAGATTTTAATCTGTGAATCACTATTGACATTTCAGTTTAGTCTAAGATCAGATTTAATGCCTGTCTAGGAAAGCAGACCACAGTGTGTGTGTGTGTGTGTGTGTGTATACACACATATGTATCTGAAGTCATTGTTACTCACATTAAATCTTGTAGTCCATAACGTTTATCACACTGAACAGCTAACAACATGTCACGCCCTGTCTTTATCTGGTCATTCCCAAGTAGATACAGCACTCTAAGGTGTGAGGGGTTTGATTTCAGAGATGAAGTCAGAGCAGCACAGCCTTCATCTGTGATTTTACAATCCTTCAACCTGCAGAGAGAACAATGTCTGAGCCATATGTGGATATAAACAGCATAAAAAGCTAAAATTTGGTACAACAACTTTAAAGAAGCTAGCAAAAACAAAGAGGCTAAAACTAAAATTAGCGAGAGCTCAGAGCCAGCCACAAGCCAGCAGCCTCTGCCATCTTTCTTCAGCAATGAAACGACCAAAGCCATTACGAGGAAAATCATGGAATTCATAGCACTGGACAACCAGACATTTTCTGTAGTCAAGGACAGAAGTTTCAGAATTTTTATACATTATCTGAGCCCACAATACACAATACCAACAAGCAATACTTCTCAGATGTTGAGTTACCAGAACTGTTTAATCTCATGTCACAGCACTCACACAGCCTGCTTCAAACCAATTTCAAAGCAGCAAATAGTTTAACAACTGACAGTTGGACATCTAATGTAAGCTTGACGTCAATGTTGAGCCTGACTGCTCAGTGGGTGGATGAAGATTTCCAGTTACACCACGTCCCTCTACACTTTCGAGACATGCCAGCGTCACACACTGCTGCCAATCTAACCACATCTGACACAATATTGCAACTGTGAGACACAGACAAGACCAGGGTTCATGTGATGGGGCAAGACAACGCTAGAAATATATATTTTAATTTGGCATGTTTGCTCTGCATGGCCCACACACTACAGCTGCTGTCCCAATAAAGCATCACTGGTAGCAACAAGAAGGAAGATTGTTGGCCATTTTAAAGACTCATCACTCCAGTTACCTATTCATGACTTCGCAATATACAGGCACAACTCAGTGTAGAAAAGGATTGCCTCAAGATATTTCCAAGGTGCTACAAGATGGAAGAGCACCTACTATATGCTGCAATCACTGATGGAGCTGAGGTGCTGCAGAGCATGGCTACCAGCCATACTCAGCATGCATCAGTGGGGGCTAATTGGTAAAATGCTGAGCCTCCTTGCACCTTTTCACTAACTCACAAAAGAAATCAGCTTCTCAAAAGCAACAACCACATATCATTCCACCCATCACTGCTCTGAAATGGCCAGTCAAGTTCTTCCGCACCAAATTTGCTCATCCATGTCTTTATGGATCTTGCTTTGTGCACTGCATTCGACGCTTCGCATTGATTGGCTTAGATGCAGCTGCTCGGCCATGGAAACCCATTCCACGAAGCTCTCTACGCACTGTTCTTGAGCTAATCTGAAGGCCACATGAATTTTGGAGATCTGTAGCGATTGACTTTGCAGAAAGTTGCCGACCTCTGCACCTCAGCATCCACTGACCCCGCTCTGTTGTTTTACGTGGCCTACCACTTCGTGGCTGAGTTGCTGTCGTTCCCAATCCCTTCCACTTTGTTATAATACCACTGACAGTTGACTGTGGAATATTTAGTAGCGAGGAAATTTCATGACTGGACTTGTTGCCCAGGTGGCATCCTATCATGGTACCATGCTGGAATTCACTGAGCTCCTGAGAGCGACCCATTCTTTCACGAATGTTTGTAGAAGCAGTCTGCAGGCCTAGGTGCTTGGTTTTATACACCTGTGGCCATGGAAGTGATTGGATGGGTGAGTGAATACTTTTGGAAATAGTGTATCAAATGTTGAAACTGAGAAAATTTATTGTTTACTGAAGAATATATGCCCATACGCCCAACAACACATTCCAAAAAAGTTGGGATGGGGTAAACAAAAGACTGGTGAAGTTGTGTAGTGCTACTGCAAATGTTGACAAAATACTCAAGTCTTCAGACTAAACCACTTTGTGTTTGACTAAATTGTACCAGTAATCGAACATTGTGTTTTATATATATTTTCATGACAGTAGTGCTATGACAATAAGGCACTGTCTGACTGACACCAAACTTAGTACACTTGCTCAATGCCTAACAATGAAACAAGGTGCAAAGTTTAGTGAGCATATGTTAATAGGGAGTGCTAAAACAATCATTCCACACAGTGAGCATATTTGCGATTAAAGTTCATATATATATATATATATATATATATATATATATATATATATATATATATACAATCTTTCGGCACCTCACGATTCGATTACAATGCAGAGGGCTGCAATGCAATTATAAAATGATTATCTATGCATCTTGATGCATCTTTTTTTTCTATACATGATTTCTATTTTCTTACTGTCTGAGGACAGACAAACATTTGGAGATGAATGGACTTATTCGCATTTATATGCAGCGCACTTGGTTTCCTGGTATGTTAAATATGCAACGAGAGACTGTCAAACACTAACTAAAAAGTTGTGAAGATGAAGTCGCTTCTCTTTCTAATTTTCCCGTTCCATCTTAAATGGTGCCGCAATTACATTTGGCGTCTCAGTCAGAATTTAAGGTGGAACGGGAAAGTTCAGCAAGAAGCTGGCGAGTGAGAAGCGACTTCAGCCTCGTAAAACAGCCAAAAGCTGAGAGACATTTTACAAGAAACTATTCAACTTTTGAGGAAAAGTTTTCTGGCAGAGATGGACAAAAAGCAGCTGTAGCTGAGCTAAAGATTAAAGCAGAGCGGAGTAAGTCTGTGTTTTCATTTATATTGTTTAGCCTAAACTAGGACATTAACACATACTGAGACATACTGGACATTAATGTTGCGGCTCCCAAGGTGGTTTGACTTTTGTTGAAAAGACAAAATGGCTCTTCTTAACATTTGGGTTGTGACTCCTGACCTAACCTGGCTTTTAATGCAGAGGGTGCCGGTCAGATTTCTCACTCATCCAGTTGTGTTTTTGTTATTTGCCACCACAGATGCAGCACTTACCCACTTCCAACTTTGCATTCCGTCAACATTATTTTATAAATTAAATATTTAGAAAATCGATTTTTGACATTTGTGAATCGATTCAGAATCGTCCACGTCTGCATCGCAATGCATCTAAGAATATATATATAAATCTTGACTGACATGTACTCAAAGAGGGCCATGGCCAAAATAACAATGTTTGGTGAACTTGCAAAGCAAGCTTGGACCCTGCAAATCACCACTTGTAGCTATATTATGACTATTATTATTATTATTATTATCATCATCATCATCATCAATACTACTAATAATACTACTAATTATAATAATAATAATAATACTAACACAATCTAAAAATATATTATGCACTGTATATTTGTTATCATTATTATTGAACTCACCCTAATGTCTCTAGTTGACAGAGAGGATTCTCCAGTACAGCAGACAGCAGCTTCACTCCTGAATCTCCTAATATATTATTAGACAGACTCAGCACTCTCAGGTGTGAGGGGTTTGATTTCAGAGCTGAAGTCAGAGCAATGCAGCCTTTATCTGTGATATTACAATTATACAACCTGCAGAGAGAACAATGACACACACTTCACTCTCTCAGTTCAGAACACACAGATCAGTTCAGCAGCAACTTCAACAACAAGCTGTAATTAGTCATAAAACACAGCCTTATTACTAGAATTTTATTTTTCAGATAAAAATGGCAATATAAATTACAAAACCAATAATTACATGCTAATGATCTAACATAAAGAACAATAGAAATGTTCTATAAAGACAAATGTGGGGTAGTTTGAGTTAATTTCTGAGCATTTTGTCTGACCTGTGATTTATAATAGAGTAACAGTATTTTGTTGGCAGGTAACACAAAAGGAACATGTGATCAGCCCTGATTCTGTGTAATCTCAGTATATATACACCTCATCTTATCTGAAGGAGGAGCTACATGTAAAAGTAATAGAATATCCATGACATAATATATTACTGATACTTTGAAGTACTGATATTACAGCTCCAATATCATAATACATAACAAATTAAGAAGAAACAAGGGAATTATAATTTTACAGCAGTAACACCACATCACTTCAACACAACTGCTTCACCATTTTTCGCGTGATAATCTTATTATTGTTTTTTATATTTTATATTTTTGTAAAGATCAGATAAACTGAAAAGAAAAACAGGAGAATGAGTTACATCAGAAGTTAGAAAGGATAAAAGATAAAACTGGTTCCACTGTTTAGATGCATAATAACAAAAAGAAGACTTTTTCTCACTCTTTTTCTGTAATGTACAGAACATTTACTGTAAGTTTTGATTGAAAAATCAGTAACACAATACAGTTGTTTAGTAACCTGTAACTATGCAGGAACAAATCATGTAACAAATATAAAAAAATCATCAACAAATATAGTAAATATCTATGATAAAAACACTGACAAAATTTTCAAATCAGGTCTTCTTTCTAACCATAGTACTCGGACAGCATTTGTTCATGTTGTGAATCAACAAATGATTTGTTTGGAAGGGGGCCGACAGTATTTTTCAAAAACTAGCTTACACTTCCTGGTTTCTATAAATCACCCGCTCCGAATTTAAATTGTCCTCTTGTAGTTAAAGCTGGTATATTATGCTAAACGCTAACCACCGTTTCATTTGCACTCCAAAGGGTAATAAAAAATAAAAAAAAAACAGTTCCTGTCTGTGTGTGTGTGTGTGTGTGTGTACGTATGTGCTTCAATTCACCAATCTAACTTGGCACAGTGTTTAATGAGAGATCACAGAACAGAAGCCAATACAGGCTGTTCACTCTTTAGTGGTCCTTTTTGTGTGTATATAGTTTATCGGTTTGATTCTATACTCAGAGATTTTTCTGTTCTCAGGGAGCAAAGTTACAGACGCAGGGAGGCATTGGCTGAGAAGCTGAGGAAGAGAAGCTGTTATAGAGATAAAACTATGCTGAATGGCTGGCATTTGGACTGACATTGTCCGTGAATGATAAAGATTCTGAAATATAATGTTTGTTTGAATAAATACCACAAATACTTATTTTGCCTGCTCTGTTTATCTTCTGTTTTTGTTTGTCACAGTCACATCAGTGTTAGGTGAATGTTGACAGCTAAATTTCAGACTAGGAGCTCATAAATCAGATGAGAATGCATAAAATAAAATGCGTATTAGCCAGCTTAACTGACTGTGTGTGATCCTTTTGTCTGAATGCATTTTGTACAAAATTATAAGTAGTTTTTATCCTTTGTGTGCCAGAAATAAAGCGGGTTCTTTAAGGTAGAGGAGGACAGTGAGTGAACTGAAATGATTCACAACCTAGTAATCAGAATTATCTGTATTTATCTGGGGCATCTAGTTGAGTACATAACAGCAGATACGACTCCTTAAAGCAGCCTGTTCTTCGTGTGCAGCAAGTTCCCAGAACAGTGTCAAAGCAGGATAACAGCTGCTGCAGATTCAGGAGCTGTTCTTGAGGTGAGGTGAGTGAGAAGTCAGAAGTGAGTGTAAGATAATGAGTGACTGTGAGTAAACAGATAAAACATGTACAGCGCACTGAGACTTATGGCATATGATGGTTCTGTAGAGTGTCCTGAATGCTCCTTTTCAGGTAAAAGGCTGCTGCCTACAGAACAGAATGTACAATAAATGTCAACATGTTTCTCTAATCCTTATTATATCATTACGTATAGAATAACACAGTTGAAAGACATACTGTACCCTCTCCCTAAAAATACCAGTAACATTCTGAAATCTACAGCAATGATTTTTGTATTTCATTAATTAATAAAATTTATATATGCTTTATCAGCATTATATGTCTGCAATTGGCTACTCTGCTCTCTAAATATTGATTGTTTCTCCTAAGATTTTAAAACTTTTACTTTCTAGATATCTGGCCTGTTTGTAATTATTTTAGTCAATCCATCTTATTTTTTTATTTTATCTTTCTAATTATAAAATAATGACACATTATTGCGATGACACAGTGCATTATCCTGCTGATATATCCCATCATTGTAGGGGTACATGAAGTCCATAAAGGGCTGAAAATGGTCACCAAGCAGGTCAATGATGTGTTCAGATGGATGTGTTCAGTGGACCCAACCTGTCTAATAAAAACACATCCTACAACAATATGCATCCACCACCAACCTGCACAGTGCCTTGTTGACAACTGGGGTCCATGGCTTCACGGAGTCTGCACCACATACAAACACTACCATCAGCCTGAAACAATTCATACCATGATTCTTTGGACCGTGCCACATGTTGCCAGTTCTCTAGGGTCCAGTTAGCAACCTCACAAGCCCAGGTGAGGTTCTGTGTCCAGTGTTGTGGTGTTAACAGAGGCACTCTGGAGAGTCTTCTGCTCCTACATCCCATGGAAGCTAAAGAACGTTGCACTGACTTGTGGGATATGCATGTGGGGCCTCCTACATTGAATGTGGATGTGATTTCTGACAGATTTACTTGTCTGTTCACAGACAACTCTAGCCAGACATTGTCGGCCTTGATAATTTAGCACCCGTGGGTGGCCACTACTCTGTCCACTGTGGGTGGTAATTACTTCTATGATGTATTCCCAGTAAATATGTAGTACTGTGGATCGAGGGATGTAAAATGCCCGCATGACATCGGTAATGGAATTTCCCATCTGTCACCCACTACCATGCCTCATTCAAACTCCATCGCCTTGCCATGAGCATGCTAGCCAGTGTTCAACCTCACTCAAAAGACAACACCTCACAACTTAAACAAGTGTGGGTGTTCCCAAGCCGTCCTCTGAGGTAATGCCACTTCAAAATCAATTTACATACTGGTATCATGTGACCTTTGGCATTTCAGTGTATGTAAACACCTGCAACATCACAAAAATGTTGTGAATTTACTAATTATTTGTACACTTTTTAATGATCAACAAAAGGACCAAGATATGTGAAAGAAAGATAATCTTACCACAATGTCTCCAGTTTACAGAGAGGATTCTCCAGTCCAGCAGAGAGCTTCTTCACTCCTGAATCTCCTAATTTATTCTTAGACAGATTCAGCCTTCTCAGGCTGGAGAATTCTGAGCTGAGCACTGAGACCAGAGCTGCACAGCTTTCCTTTGTCAGATTGCAACTTGAAAGACTGAGAAAAATAACAATATATAAAATACTAACATTATTTTGACTGATATTAGTTCCTAATATGACCTATTAATGCTGCTAAATAGCACATACAGGCAGATAAAAATGAAGAAACTTTTCAAATTTCAGGTGTAATACCCGCCATTGACACCCGAGGTCAGCCTCACCTGAGTATTGATCTGATGCCTTAATCTCTTTCACCTGCAGCTTGTTTACCTTCCTTTATAAGAGCCTACACAAACACTGGCTCTCTGCGAAGTATTGCCAGTTCGTCTGCATACTGAGCCTTGTTTCACTACTGTTGCTGGTTTTATGGTTTGCCCAGACTTTCTTCTGAGCTCCTGAACTCTCTTTGGTACGTTTGCTAGTTTTTGTAATCTATCTTCGTTTTTGGCTATTTGGGACTGTCTCTGATTCAGATTTTTGTGATTTTGATGCTTTGTTTTTGAATAAATGGGAAAGATGGATTCAAACACATCTGGAGAGTCTTCATTACAGAATACTTTGCCTACCCAGAATCCAGAAGTACCCTTTAATCTCCGTGCTGCTGGCCAACTATTGGGCTCCCACGCACAACAACTAGTGCACCTCACAAATACCCTCGAAGAATTGCTCCATGTGGTTTGTAACATTCAGGTTCCAGCTCCTCTGTCTGCTCCAGTCCCCCCGCAGCCTCCAGTAAAGCTTTCCCCATCTCCCTCTGACACTTCACTCCCTTCTGTCAAGCTAGCCCTTCCTCATAAATACAACGGTTCCCCTGGTCTGTTTAAGGGGTTTTTAATGCAATGCTCAATTTATTTTTCTCGTGCCATGCTGCTTCTCCCACTGATTCACTGAAGGTAGCTTTTGTCATGTCCCTGTTCACAGGTAAAGCTCTCTCCTGGGCTATGGCTATGTGGTGAGCTCAAGTACCAAATTCCTCCACATATGCAAACTTTGAATGTGTATTCAGGGAGGTTTTTGATCACCCAGTTAGTGGTAAAGATCCTGGAGAGCTTTTACTATCCTTCAAACAAGGTAACAAGACAGCAGCCGAGCATGCCTTGCACTTCTGAACACTCGCTGCAGAGGCTGGACGGAACGAAAAATCCTTGAAAGCAGTTTATCGCCAAAGCCTTAAATAAGTCCTTCACACAGAGTTGGCATGCAGGAACAGTGATAATAACCTTTCTGATTTCATACAATTATCCATTACTTTAGACAGTCGCATTCGTTTCAGATGCCACCCTGTCTCTAGGACCTCTCCTAGCCTTTTTGTTCACTCTACCTCCTAGTCCATGGAGCTTGGTCAAGTGCAATTAACTCCAGAAAAATGGCAACAGCGCATGCGTACAGGGCTTTGGCCAGCAAGGACACTTCAAAGGTAACTGCCCCACTCTCATCAAAAACCCCAAATGGGTGAGTGAAACTATATATTCTTCTACTGAAAGTCGCAAATTCACACTACCCATAATACTAATTTGGGGTTATCAACATCTTTCTGTCCCAGCGTTGAGTGACTTTGGAGCTGCTGGGAACTTTACTAACCAAGACATTGCCACCAAACTTCACATTCCGCTCCACATCCTCTGACCGTTAAAGGGCTGGCTGGAAAACCCCTTGGTTCTTGTCAGATTATAGCTGCCACTCCTTCCTTAACCTTAATCACAGGACTCCTGCACTGAGAAAGCATATCGCTATAAGCCATTCCCTTTCCCAAAAATCCCATTGTTCTTCATTCTTTATCCACTGTATGACTTTGCCATGTTTAACAACTTCCACTGAAAGCCCTGACACTAAAATTAAAGTGCCCCTTCCTGCTGAACATACTGAATTCTCTTCTGTGTTCAGTAAAACTGAGGCTGCAGTTCTTCCTCCTCACAGAGATATATACTGTGCCATTGACCTTCGTCCTGGTACAATACCACCAGTTGAATTTATCCCCTGTCTGTTCCGGAGACTCAAGCATGGAAGAATATGTAGAAGAAGCTCTTAAATTAGGCTACATATGCCCTTCTACCTCTCCTGCTTCATCAGGTTTCTTCTTTGGGGAAAAGAGAGAGATTGACTACCAAGAGCTCAATGCAATAATGGTAAAACCCCAGCAGGTTGGACTTACAATTTGATACGTATCAAGCCAGGTGATAAAGGGAAACAGCCTTCAGTAAAACAACTGGCCATTATAAGCACCGGGTGGTCCCATATGGTCTGGCAATTGCTCTGGCTGTGTTCCAAACTTTCATCAATGACGTTTTCTGAGACATGCTCAGTAAGAGCGTAACAGTCTACTTTGATGATTCTTATTTACTCTCTCACTCTCTGAACAAACAACTCATGTCAAGATGGTACTACAATGACTCCAAGCGAACAATCTATATGTCAAATTGGAAAATGTGAATTTCACAAGCCTCTAGTATCATTTCAAGGGGGACATCATCAGTGCACAAGCGGTTAAAATTGGTAATTCGAGTGATTCAATGGCCTCGACCCAAATCTATTGTTTTTTACAGATGACTCGTAAAAAGCTTTAACATGATTGCCAATCCTCTCACTTCTCTACTGCGAGGCAATGCAAGAAATTGAACCAGTCACCTGAAGCTGAATCAGCCTTTGACTCACTTAAACGTTTCACGTTTTCACAACTGCTCTGATTCTTTGCCACCTTGACCCCTCCCTTCCTTTTCTGGTGGAAATGGAGGACTTTGAGACAGGAATTGGAGATGTTCTCTCCCGAAGATATGGGAACGCTGCTAAACCCCTGTGCATTCTATTCCAGAAAACTTAATCCTGCTGAGCGCAACTATGATGCAGGCAATCGTGAATTATGGGCTGTCAAAGCAGCTTTGGAGGAATGGAGGCACTGGCTTGAGGGTGCCGCCCACCCTTTTACCATTCTAATGGATCATCAAAACATGGAATACACTAAATCTGCTAAACGTCTGAATCCTTGCCAGGCTCGATGGGCATTGTTTTTCACATGCTTTCGTTTTACTTTAACATATAGATCTAGGTCTAAGAATGGTAAGGCAGATGCACTCTCCCACCAACAAGATGTTGAGGGAAAACCCATCAGTGTAGACCCTATACTACCCCCTTTGGGTACTCTTGGTCCAGTCTCTTGGGACTGTATGGAAGAAATTAGGAGAGCACAAATTACTGACCCAGCACCCCCAACATACCCAACTAACAAAAGGTAATTTCCCATTGACCTTTGCAATAATTTGATTCAATGGGTGCACTCATCCTTTAGCTCAGGCCATCCCGGCATTACCTGAACAATTTCCCCAGTTCAGAATACTTTCTGGTGGCCCTCCCTATCTACTGATGTGACCAATTTTGTCAAGTCATGTTCTGTTCGTGCTTGAAGTAAAACACCTCACCTTCCTGCCGACTTATGCCCCTTCCTCTCAATGTCCTTCCAGGCAACTTATGCGCCTTCCTGTTCAACATCGTCCTTGGTCACACATAACTGTGGATTTCCTGACAGATATATCCTCTCAAATGGAAACACAGCTATACTTTTGGTCATAGATTTTCCAAAGCCTGCAGGCTGATTCCCCTCAAGAAGCTTCCATCTGAGGACATTGGGGGCAGTTTACTTCACATGTGTAAAAAGAGTTTTGCCGATTACTAAATATTAATGTCTGTCTCACTTTCGGCTACCACCCTCAGTCCAATGCGCAAGTGGAAAGACAGAATCTAGAAATCAGTCATTATCTTCATTCTTATGGCAGTGACACTCAACATGAACGTAGGCACTTTCTTCTCTGGGTGGAATATGCCCAAAATTCCCTTATGCATTCCTCTACAGGTTTATCATCGTTTCAATGTGTGCTGGGCTATCAAGCCCTACTGTTCCGCTGGTGAGGTGAACCATCTGAAGTGCAGTTGACGACTGGATGAAGAGGAGCGAGGAAGTCTGAAACTCAGCACACATACAGCTCCAAAGGGCAATGAGCCAGCAGAAAATTCACGCAGATCGCAGACGCAGAGTCACGCCCACTTACAGTCCAGATCAAAAAGTATGGCTCTCAAAACGGGATCTTAAGCTACAATTGGCCTGTAAAAAGCTGGCTCTTATGTATATTGGTCCTTTCACTGTTTTACAAAGAATTAACCCCGTCTTTAATTACCCTCACGTTACTGCATCTCACCGTCTTTCCATGTCTCTCTCCTGAAGTCTGAAGTCTGTTTCCCCTACAGGTGATGTGCTGAACTCTGACTTTGCTTGTTTAACTAATCTATCATGGATTTTGACTATTTTGGACTGTGTCTGATTCTGATTCTGGTTTTTGCGATTTTGATGCTGTGCTCTTGGAAAGATGGATTTAAACATCTGGAAAGTCTTCATTACATTAAAATATATGGGCAATTAGTTGGATTTTGTGTATTAACATTCACATTGGTATTTGACATAACGAAAAATTGAATAATGAAAAATTGTTGCATTCTCAATATATTTCTAATATTATGTCAGTTTTATTCAGTATTACTTACTCAGCTGTTCTGGATTCTGCAACTACAGGCAGCAGCTTCAGAAGAACATCATCTGATCTGTTATATTTCTGTAGGACAAATTCGTCCAGGTTTCCTCCTGATGTCAGCAATGCAAAGACCACAGCTGACCACTGTGAAGAAGAGAGTTTTCTTTGGTTTAGACTGTCAGACTGCAGGTACTGCTGAACTTCCTCAATTAGAGAACAGTCATCCAGTTCATTCAGACAGTGGAACAGATTGATGGATTTCTCTGAAGAGTGATTCTCTCTGATCTTCTTCTTGATGTACTGAACTGTTTTCTCTTTGCTGTGAGAGCTACTTCCTGTCTGTGTCACCAAGTCTTGTATAAGAGTATGATTGGACTCCAATGAGAGACCCAGAAGAAAGCGAAGGAAAAGATCCAGATGTCCATTCTTACTCTGTAAGGCCTGATCCACAGCACTCTTGTGTACATCTGAAATTGGAATTTCTTTTTTCCTGCGAATCCCCAGTTTTGAGGACTGACTCTGTTTAAGCACATTTCTCTTCTGGGTCAGGAAGGTCAGGTACACATATAGAGCTGCAAGATGTTCCTGAATGCTCAGATGAACAAAGCAGTACACTTTACTCTGGTGCAGCCCAGATTCCTCTCTGAAGATCTGTGTACACACACCTGAGTACACTGATGCTTCTTTAAGTTCGATGCCACACTCTCTCAGATCTTCCTCATAGAAGATCAGGTTTCCTTTCATCAGCTGCTGAAAAGCTAGTCGTCCCAGTTTGAGAAGTATTTCTTCATCTGTATTCTGGTTCTTTGTGTACTTTTCTCTTATGATCTTTGTCTGAATGATAAGGAAGTGTGTGTACATTTGAGTCAGAGTTTTGGGAGTCTCTCCACTCTCTGCTTCACCCAACATTCTCTCTAGAACAGTGGCTGAAATCCAGCAGAACACAGGAATGTGGCACATGATGTAGAGGCTTCTTGATGTCTTCAGGTGTGTGATGATTCTATTGGTCAGGTTCTGACCACTTATTCTCTTCCTGAAGTACTCCTCTTTCTGTGGGTCACTGAACCCTCGGACTTCTGTCACTCGATCCACACACTCAGAGGGGATCTGATCAGCTGCTGCAGGCCGGGAGGTGATCCAGATGAGAGCAGAGGGAAGCAGATCCCCCTTGATCAGATTGGTTAGTAGCACCTTCACTGAGGATGACTGAGTGACATCATCCAATCTCACAGCGCTCTGAAAATCTAGAGTTAAACGACACTCATCCAAACCATCAAATATGAACAGAACTTTGTGAGATCTGGATATTTCCATTTCATTAATCTCCTTAAACCGTGTGTGAAGAAGATCCACCAAACTGAGTTTTTGGTCCTTCATCAAATTCAGTTCTCTGAAAGGAAGTGGAAATATGAAGTGGACATCCTGATTTGCTTTCCCTTCAGTCCAGTCCAGAATGAACTTCTGCACAGAGACTGTTTTTCCAATGCCAGCAACTCCCTTTGTCAGCACAGTTCTGATGGGTTTATCTTGTTCAGATAAGGGTTTAAAGATGTCATTGCATTTGATTGGTGTGTCTTCTGTTGCTGTTCTCCTGGATGCTGCCTCGATCTGTCTGACCTCGTGTTCATTATTGACCTCTCCACTGACTCCCTCTGTGATGTAGAGCTCTGTGTAGATCTCACTGAGAAGTGTTGGGGTTTCCTGGTTTGTTGTCACCTCATTCAAACACTGAAACCTCTGTTTCAGATTTAATTTGAAGTTTTCTTGGATCTTTACTGCATCAAAAGCATGGCCATGTCTGTGAGATATGAGGTGAGACACAGGACCAATTATCATTACAATTTAAATAAGCTTTCTAAGATTAACATTTTGCTGACTCAGTACCAGTTGTATTTCCCCAAGTGCACAAACCAAATTCTATGATTAACTCTCTGTACATTTTCTTTATTTGTTCTCTCTAATCTTAATCAATGTAAATTTAAGAGTATGTTGTAAAGACAGCTTGACCAGTTACCTCTTAAATTTACACTGATGTATCTGTATGTTGGTTGTGATCTTACTCTTTATCTGTGAGGATCTCTTCTGTTCTGTCTCTCAGCCCCTGCAGGACACTGTAGACACACAAATTATACATGCTGTATACTTTCATTAAAGCATCTGAACTTCAGTATTAAATCTTCTAAAACAATTTTTTGAGCATAAAATAAACCTGAGAACACAGTCATAACAAGAGCTTGAACCACATTTTGGAATATTTTGGAATCTATACTGATACATATTTTCTAAAAGTTGATTTTTGTTTCAAAAAGCACTAACTATATTTTCACATATGACATATTATTAAAAGGTTCTAATTAAGGGCTAGTACTTCATAAAAAAAGAGAATTACACTATGATCATTTTTTGTGCTGTAATATAGATAAAAAAGCATCACTGAAAGTAAAACAAGGCTGCAGACTCTTTATGTTCTGGGTAATATTATTTTAAAATAGATGACATGACCAATACACATTGCTGGTCTGAGCTTTTCTACTGAAAAGGATGAATCGGCTCTTCTGTCCACAATGGCTCAATTGTGAGGAGCTGTTACCTGTGTCCAGATGATGGCTATCCATCTCTAAAAAACTGGTAACTGAAACCCTAGGCTTATCACTCTTCATAATCACACAGCTGGTTACTGAAGATTGTGATCTCTTTATCTGGATTAGACTGTACAAGACATTATTTGCACAGTCTTTAATGCGGGTATCATGCCGGCCGCAACATGCGGTGTTCACACAGATTTTTAATTTAAGAGAGTCTCCATTTTTACTGTGTTGTTTCAGTTCGCTGTGACAAAACAGCTTTAACATAACTGAGCACGATAAAGAACAACTCAGCTCGTACAACCATCCACTTGGCAAGCCTGGAGCAGCCAGCTGCCTTGTTAGACACAGCAAACAGTGAAACACAGGGTGATTCAAGAAGATTCATCCGATTTCAAAGCACCATATTTTTACAACTGTGAGGTGCCTAGGAACCATCACATGCCAATTAAAGGGGACGTTAAGGATTCTGTTTATGTGCCTCTCCCAACAACACTGCATGATCTCTGAAATCGCATTGAAAGAGCTGTGCAGTGACACCTGACATGCTCAATCGAGTGTGGGATGAATTTGACTATGGTGTTGATGTTGTCCACACAGCTGGAGGATGTTCATACTGAGCACTTGTACAATTAAATAATAAACTTTATGCTTACTTAAACCATTTAAAATTTACTGCATTGTTTTGTTTTACAAGTGAAATAAATAATTTTGAAATTGGACGAATCTTTTTGAATCACGCTGTTTTATTTTTACACCAACTACAAGATGAAAAATGGAATTTAGGTAAGAAAAACATCAGAAGAAACTGACAAAAACTGGTTCCTTATGGAAATAAAGTTACTAGAGTGTGTTGTAGTATTTATACATTGAAGAATACTTTTCAGTTGGAAACTCTCACAGTATTTTTTTTTTATGTTTCAAAAGTTTATAAGTATATTTCCAAACTACTACTACTAATCATAATAAAGGCAGGTGTGGTGTGATTATTATTGTTACTATTACAAATTTATTCACTTTCTGATATTGTGATATCATCAGCTGAATAGTACACAATGTCATGATGTAAATTTGACTTTGTATCGCCCATCCCTACTTGATGTTTAGTTTTTATTTTCTATTAAATATTTTCTTTCATTGTCAAGTTTCTTAAATGTTCTTGTTAAGCACATAAATGTTTCATCACTTTTAATTGAAAGAACTTTGATCTACATTTTAAATTTGTGATACTGCTGTTAAGGTCCGCAACATAATTCAGTCTTTCTCTCAGCAATAGCTCAACTCTGATTATTTTACCTGTGTCCAGATGAGGGGTCTCCATCTTTGAATTCTGGGGGATGGCCTATAGACGTATCACTCTTCACAGACATACAGCTGTGTGCTGGAGAGTCTGATCTCTTTACCTGGATTAGACTGTACAAGAGACATTATTTACACAGTCTTTATTATTGGCTTTTCATTTTTAACTAGCCCATCCTAATATTGCAATGACTCTAATTATATCACTAGTTTTAATTGTGTACTTGATGAGGTGAGAGGTAAACCGGTATAAAAGTGAATACCAGTTTGACATTCTTCCATGAATTTTGGCATACTGTGCATACTGTGATAAGGCCAGAAACAATGAACTAAAACCAACGTCACCACTGTAATAAACTAAACATGCACACAAACAGCTTAAATAACTCTAAATAAGTAATAATAATATTTATATAATAGTAAATAATAAACTCAACAAAAGGGTGTTTTAGACAAAACTGCACCACCGAGTGCCGCTTGCAGACGCTCCTGCGTTAATCAGCTAACTGTTTACACAGCCATGGACAGCAGTGAGTGCACAGCAGGTGAGTGTACTGTAGGGTGCGTGTAACGTGCCGGCTGCACCATGTAGTGTTCACACAAATTTTTACTTTGAGAGAGGTTAATTTTTCACTCTGTTTTTACTTTGTTCTGATAAAACAGATTTAACAGAACTGAGTACGATGAAGAACAACTCAGCTCGTAAAACCATCCACCTAGCCAGCCTGGAACAGTGAGCTGCATTTGTTAGGTACAGCAAACAATGATATATTATTTTACACACCAACTACAAGGTGAAAATGGAACAGAGAACGAGCAAAGAGGTAAGAACAAACAGGCTGCAGGAGAGATTGACTAAAAACTGGTTCTGTACAAGAGAACTGAAGTTCCTAGAGTGCAAAGTAGTGTTTACATGTTGAATACTTTTCAGTTGCAACTCTCTCTTAAAGAGTAACTCCACCCTAAGACCTTTTTTTCCATTAACAGCTGAAATGCACTGCTTTGTAATAAAAAAATATACCAGCCTTGCTTAAAATGTAAAAGGAAATAACCACACACACGCTGAGCTAAACATCCCCAGCACCACCTCGCAAGGCCAGGGGAACGTGAATTTGAGTGGGAACTGAATCAGATGTAACACCGGTAAGTGCCATGAGAAGCTTGCAGAACATAAGGATTTAGGGTCGCTCCAGAAAATGCTGGCTGACCGATGATGCAGTCTGCGACCTTGAGGTCAAACTGAATGAAACTTCGTTCAAAGAAGTCCACTTTATCAATTCGGAATTCAGGGCACTGAAGAAACCAGGACTCGGGTTATATCGAATATGGACCTGCTGAACAGATAGTAAGAAACTTAGCTGTCACTGTTTGAGGGAACGTTCTACCATTCGGACGCCTCTGCCGCTCGCTGCTAATCATTTTCTGGCGCTGTGTTAACTCTTCAGCGGCTCAAGTCAGCAGCTCATACTGTTAAGGCTGAAGACACACTGGCTGATCAGAAACACCTTCCCTCATTTCACTTTCTGATATTCTATCATTATCATGCAAATAATGCAATATATTGTGATGTAAAATTTGAGTTCATATCACCTAGTCCTACTTGATGATTAGTTTTTACTTTCTATTAAATATTTTTTCATTTTCATGTTTATTAAAGTTTGTCAGTCACACTATTTTAATCTCTTTTAATTGAAAGCACTCTGATCTACATATTAAATGTGGGAAATAAGATAGTTACATAATCAAAACAGAAACAAGAATGAAATCTTTCTCTCAGCAACAGATCAGCTATGATACCTGTGTCCAGATGAGTGGTCTCCGTCTTTGAAATCTGGGGGATGACCAATAGACACATCACTCTTCATGGACACACAGCTGGGTGCTGGAGAGTCTGATCTCTTCATGTGGATTAGACTGTAAATGATGAAAGAATACACACAGTATTTAAATTCTCTTTAAAGGAATAACCCAGTAAAAATGCTAATTAATCTAGTTGCCAACAATAATGATGTCACTTGTAATCTGCTGACCACTAGTTTCCACTCATTGCTTACAGGGTTAGCATGTATGGTTGAGCAAGACCTTTAACATGGAAAGAGTTCAGAAAATGTCTTCACAAAATACTTTAGAGAAACAAGAAGTATAGAGAACAGTTGACGATTATAACAATATAAACATTTTTCGTTTACATGTATTAATGAGAGACATTTATACAAACTCACTTACAGATCAGGGAAGATATATATTTTAAACCAGTATTAGATCGTAGCTCACCTCTGTTTTAAGCATGGGGGCCCATCATTAGTGTCCTGATGAGGGGTCTCCATCATTGAATATTAGAGGAGTATTCACATAAATATCACTGTTCATGGACACACAGCTGGGTACTAGAGAGTCTCTTCTGCCAGAATGGACTAAACCCCTAAAACAAAGCACAAAAACAATTATGTCACCAAATCCTGCAGATCAATTTTCAGTTATCTCTCTTAGGACACATGCCAGGAAAAATGTAACTTCTTTGGTAAATACAAATTTTTTTTAAAAGGTTGCGTGATGTTCAAAGATAATGTACAGTGTACGTACCAGCGTGAAAATATTTCCTGCTGGTTTCTTACTGATGGACACTGAAGACTAAAGTTACTGTTTTCTTAATGTTCTTAAAATGTTCATTGAAAGTAAGTAGAACATCCCCTAAAATGTCTTCCCAACTATTATTTCAACAATAAAACACTAAAAATAGGTTTTGTGTGTTTCAATGGATCTGGTTTTTCCCCACCCTTTGCCAGATATGTGGAGTGCAGCCAGTAGTGCTCAGCATTGGAACATCTGATGTTTCTGAAAGTATGTTTAACATTTCATTAACATTTTCTCAGTTTGTAGTTTGGTTAATTCCTCTTATTCCTGTTAACCCCACTCCACTGTTTCCATTTGTTAAAAACTCTTTTGCTATTTGTTTCACCCTGATAACACTAATAAAACAGTCTCAATTAATAACCGACAAAAACTAGGACAAAATCAATGCAAGAATAATGGACTTGATGTTTATTATTATTATTAATATTGTTGTTAATATTAATGGTACTAGTGATAATGTTGTTGCTGTTATAGAGAAACAAATTAAATCAACTGAATAAACAAAATCTAATTCATCAACTGATATCCAGAGAGGGTCTCTGTATGCTTCACCTGCACAGTAAACAAACAGGTTTATGTTATGGTACTGCCTGGCCTGCAGGCTGCATTATCCAAAGTGACCTGCTGCCACATTTGAACAGATATAAGGAGACACACACACACACACACACACACACACAGACATGTATGAGTAAATGTGAAGCATTGTTTACAGTCTGACAGCCTTTCTGAGCAGTTAAAACACAAAACGTTCTTGAAGTCACTTTGCAGTCTTTGCCTTGAGTAGTCAGTGTACAAGAGGTGCCCGTGGCTCTTTTTCATGGTTGAATTACTTGCATGTGATGGGCCTGACTGCACACAGAATTCAGATTAAGTAGTGCTGATTCCTAATGAGTCCTATTGGCCTTCTGTGAAGTACTATAGACCTTCTTAGTTTCAAGGTCTTGGCAAGGGCCCATCAGCGGGCCCAAAGTTTTGTTACACACTTCAATAACCTAAGAATAACTCAGCCAGTTTGCATTGAAGTCCCTCTAATTAAATCTCAAGATAATTCCGTCTGAAACTGACCCGAGCTAAGCCTTTTTCACCAACGTGCCAAATAAAACTTGATAGGATACAGCCAGTAAAATAACTGCATGGCAACAAAAAGAATTATTAGCTCATGCATGAATTAAATAACAAATAATATGAAACATCAAATAATCAGCTGTCCAAAATTAAGGTTAAATTAATTTATGAAGCAGTGTTTTCTAACAACATCTCAAATGCTTTTTTTTTTTTTGTGGACGGTCTTTCCATGATGCGCTCATAAGATGAGATCTTATGTGCCACTCATAGCCTGTAGAGATTCTTCATTTTGTTATTTAATATAGACTTCAAATGAATATCTACTTTAAATTGACACAAAAACTGCGTTTGACCGATAAAATGATATAAAAAAGCAAAAAAAGGAACTACAATTTATAAACACATAAACAATAATAAAAAACGTGTGTGTGTGTGTGTGTATACATACCCACCCCTGGTAACCCTTGGGGTGACAGGCTGATACTTTACCAGTGAGCTTCCAGAAGGATACAATAGACTAAGGATGTCTGGGGAAAAATGCTGACGACCTCATGAAAAAAATCAAAGATTTTCTTTCCTGTTTTTATCCCCCTAGCGAAAACATGAGAAACAGAAAACTAATGAAAAGTCAAGAAATTCACAACTTCATCACGATTACGATAAACTATCACCACATTGCCAAGCACTACTTCACAGCTGCTTGAAAAGAGTAAACTTAACTTACTTATAGAGACTTAATACATTTTTATTGGAACGTCCAACACAAACACCTACATCCAAAAAAATTCCCTTATTTCATTTAATTATATCTGAATTATTATCATTATTAATAGAGGTAGTACTTATAATAATGCTAAGAAGGCGTATATTTGTGTTTTGTTATTTACAACAAATGTATCTCAGCAATTTTTATCATTTTATTACTTTACTAATTATTGTGAGTTATTTTTATGTTAGTAAACTTTTAAGCCTCTAACACCTCTAAGCGTACAACTCTTGACTACTATTCTGACCACTAGCTACATTTACTTAGCCTAAGTAACTTAGCTAGACTTAATTTACTAGCATTAACTGCCAACTTGCTAGCTAACAGTTGAGTTACCCAGCTAACTTAAGATCATTTTTTTTTTTTTATTTTTACCCGATTTTCTCCCCAATTTGTCGTCTCCAATTCCACCCGCTAGTTAGGACTCCCCCAATCACACACGACGCTATCAACGCTAGGAGGGTGAAGGCTAACACAGGCTTCCTCCGAGACCTGTGAAACCAGCCAACGCTTCCTTTTGAGCTGCCGCTCACGCAACGTCATTGGACAGCTGAACGCGCTCGGAGGAAAGCGCCAACCGCCAGATCTGTTACGTCAGCTAACAGACGCCTGCGCTGACTAGCATCGCGCTGAGTGAGTGATGGGGGGAGATTGTGCTCTCTCGGACTCCCGGCTACGGATGGCTGTAGCATCACCAGGGATCGAACTTGCGATCTCCTGACGATAGGGCCAACGCTTAGACGGTTGCGCCAATCGGGATATAATTTTTAAAAGGTATTTTAAAAGGTATTTTAGCTCCAATGGCTAATTTCACCAGCTAGCTAATGTAGCTAACATCAACTAGTTAAACCATTTATATTTTCTCTGTTAAACTGAAATAAGTTAGTGTGAGGTACTAAATCAGTCTGAGACCCTCATATAAAGCTCTGCAGACTTCATATAAACCTTTTAACACAGACAGCAGAGTTTAGAAAACAGTATTTTACCCTTTACTTCTTACCTTCTCAGTAAACTGGAGCCTTCTAGAGTAAACCGGAGAAAACTGGCTCCGTCCGGATTAAACCGGTTCCTTTTTCTGCATGTTTAACTGCCAAATCTCTGTCACCATGGCAACAGTATGCAAGCTGGGCTAGACTGTGGAAAAACGCATACTTTCTCCTAAAAACAGTTTTTCTAATATTGGATATAAATCAGGAACAGCAAAAAATAATAGCTCACCTTCAAAATATTAAAGTATTAAATATTATGTTAAGCAGTCGATCAATGGATACACGTCTTTCAACAGTGAAATTTATCATCCCAAAAAACTGATTTAAAACGGTTTACTAATATTTCCTAATGTGGGTCTAAAGAACAGCACACATACAATTTCATTAAACTGTATTTAAAAAAAAAATGTTAAAAGAACATTCATTTAATGTTGCACTTAGAACAGATCAGACTAACATTGTGAGAACTTTTTATCAAGGCCAGGTGACGTCCATACAAAGTTCCACAGACGTACAAACATTTGCTCCTAACATTGGGGGAATTTTTACATAATGTCAGCCAAAGTTGTGGAAACGTTCCTTATTTTATTTACTGTTCAACAATGGAAAATATATATATATATATATATATATATATATATATATATATATATATATATATATATATATATATACACACACATATATATATTTTACTGACCTTCCAAAACCAAAAAAAAAAATGTATTTACTAACCAGAGTGAACCAATTGTCTTCTGAGTATTTGTTTGTAATGTTGTTGATGGTAAAATACTAATTAATATGAGAATATGCATTTTCTTTAGGGACTATTTTGCCTTGTAACACCCTGCATGTATCAGTCCACCATGAATGGACATTGAACTTCAGTTTTCTGGTTCTTATCAATTCTGGCTCATTATACTGCAGGTGAAACCACTCTGAATGACTTTGTTTACATCTTAATGGATTTCATTATGCAGAATTGTGTAAAAATCGATGGATCTCCCCTTTAATATTATTTGTATTTGTTGTGACATTGTTTCCTGAGCAAATAAACCAGATAAACAGCTTTTTAAATATAATTGTATCAGGTGCCTAAAACTTATGCACAGCGCTGTCTGTCCTTTCACACGTTAAAGACAAACATTATGTTTGATTTTTACTAGATTAAGTCAGAATGTATTGATTATGAAAGCAGCATTTTCGGGTTTAAATCTGTTTCAATTCAACTCTGATTCATTTCTTCATCACAGAAAACAGAAAAACGGAGCATTATTGAGAAAAACTCACCAGAAAATGTAAATATCAGCTTAGAATAGTTTAGAGAACAGAGAGATTGAAGAGAAGCTGCGGATTAAAGGATTAAACAGATTTTCTTTCTCTTCAATCTTTCTGCAGCTGCTGCTGATCAAAATGGCGGCTCAGGTAAAGACCTGAACAGTGACGCCCACTTTATCAGCGGCTCTGCTTCCTGAAGTAAAAATGCCATTAATTTTCATTTCGAAACATCCTTAAATAAAGAGTTTTAAGCGCTCAGACAAACCAACCAGCCACGAGATCAACCATGACATTTTAAAAGCGAAATCTAAGCAAAAAAGTTTTGAAAAATGAACAAAAAGGCGAAGGAACAAGACGGTGTACTTAACGTGTACAATGTCGGAATGAACTATATATCCCACAAAGCACTGCGAATGGTTTCAACCAATCACTTTAACTTTCTTTATCCGCAGTCGTATTTTCTCTTCGTGTTTTTGTGGACATTACTGGCCTTTCATCATCATATATAGTACAGTTTTACAGTTTTACAGTTTTATGTACATATAATATTTGTATTTTTTAATTATATTTTTAACAGTTCGTTTATTTTATCGCTGCTATCAAGTGTCAGTCATGTTACAGTGAACCTTAGGAAAGCTGTTTGTGTAACGCTATAAAAATTATATTAATCCTGATTCGGCCTGTCTTCATATTTTACTCACTGAAGTGGCTCAAAGGGACAAATATAATAACTGAAAGCGAACCTGAAGGGGGAGAAAATCTGATGCAGCGTTAATGTGTGAAGTAAAGGGGATTTTTGTCATGATTTAGAAAGTAAAATTACACTTATTAAACTTTGTACAGGACCCTACTGTTAGATCAGGGACGGAGAGTTTTTCATAATTTTTATTAATTTATTTCATTTCCAACTTTTCTACCATAACGTTTCTGTTTAGATTGCAGTGCACTTACAAAATATTTCCCTGTTTATGGAAGCTCTGCTGTCACTCCTGAAACAAAGCACAGACAAATCTGGGAAAGAGAACATATTATCAGCTAATATTATTTCATATTAGCTGATAATTTTAATATTACATAGTTCAGGGTATTCTAGTCTACATGGTTTTAAATACATGCATAGATGACAATGTCTGTACAACTTTTTCAATAATCTAAAATCTAGACCAGTTATATAGGCCAGATCTGGGTTTGATCCACAGAAACGTCTAACATAATTCCTTCCTCTTAAGATTTCATGTTAACCGTGAATAGCATTTGTGTGAATATTGAAATGAACTCTTATTCTACCAGCACTTTTAGGTGATCTGCTCCGATCGTCTTTTTTTCAGATAAATATGAAGCACAATAAGTTAATTATTTATAAATCAGGGTCTGAGCTCTGTGACTTCAGGCCAATGAGTGTCAGTGATGCTGGTATTTGCTTCTACTCTCATAAATTCATCAGAAACAAACAACCATTTTATTTATCAGAAACATGATGAGTTCACATTAAACTGCTTGAATACATTTATATTAGACCGATAACAGCATTTAACAGAACACAAACCCATTTAGAGTTCAGACCAACCTGTTTGGAGTTGAGTCCTTCCTGTTTGGAGTCCAGCCTGCAGGAAGACACACTTGCAGTGGAGGAGGAGAGTCTCTGTGTAGCTCCCATTTAATTCATTCATGCAGTGAATCTGCTTAGAGCGGCAGATAAACTACAAACCCCATATAGTTACCAGTTCATACTGAGACATCTTGTGCAGCTACGAGGCTGAAGTAGCTTCTTATTCACCAACTTCTTATGAGAATTTCCCGTTCCACCTTAAATGGTGCTGCAGTTACATTCTGTCTCCTGAAGATGGCGATATAACACTGAGAATTGCTTTGTATAGAATCTGTATGGGTATAAATACTGAATAAAAGGATTCAACAGAAACACAAAGACTGTCCGAGTTGTGTTTTTAGGGAATCTATTTCAGAAAGTCTGAACCATTTTAGAACTTAACATTAAAAAGAAAAAAGAAAAAAGAAATCCATAAATAAGAGAAAGGTAAAGGGTGAATTTGTGATGAATTTCTTGTGCTTTTCTGCTACCGTCTTACCTTCATTTTATTACTAGCATAGCCACCTCAGTTATCTCAGTGTAGCATATAAATCACAAATAAGAGTAAGAACCCTTTTAGTTGTGTCACACACAATATTCAAAAGTCAAAATGAACATAATCAAAATTTTGAACTGTAGAATTTCTCAGTATTCAAGATGATCTTCACACTGTGTTGGATTTTCAAGCCTTAAAAATTATTATAATTCAAAGATTCAGAGCAAACAAGCAGATGATCCAGTCACTAATCACTGTGTAATTATGCTGCATTTAAAAGTCACTCATTTAAAACTCATTGAACACCTGACATACGGAGGACGTTCCATTCGTGTCTAAACCAGGTCGGTCCGTCTTTGCTTCCTGACAGATGCAGATGGTGCTCAGTAGATCTAGTTTAGACCAGCATTTTAAAGCTTGTATAAAATGGTGTTAAATGTTTATGACGGGATGATCTTTTTGATAATGAAAATAATTTGGCTGTTATTTGCTGTAACTGGTATAAGTAGGATGTGCATGCGATGCCTAAATTAGACCTTTTATGACCCTCCACTTAAACACAAAGTTTGATAATAATAAGAATAAAAAAACAAAAAAAAACAAAACAGTAAACTCATTTGTGGCACATATCTCTTTATGAGCTGAACATTTATTAGCTTGATAAAGTATATGTTATTTTGTTCAACTGTCCTGCTTACAAGTTCTGCTTCACACTCTGTTCAGTTTTTATTGGTTAGTTTGATGTAAATCATGTGTTACTCAATCACACGTCTTTCTCATGTTTGGAGTGTAACGTTTGGTGCAAAGAAGAAACGCTCAGTGCTCAAACACCAATCACTGAGTCAATGTTAAATCAACAATAAAGTCATATTAAACTGCTAACATTATTGAATATACATCCAGCACAAAGCACTTACTTTAATACTGTATATAATGTTCAAGATATAATATACATATTTATGGGAAAGCACATTTCCAAAACAGTCTTTGGTGAACTTAGAGTTGCACCGATACCAATTTTCCCTTCCGATACCGATACCTGATCCTTTAGTATTGGCCGATACCAAGTACCAATACTAATACTAACTCTGACTGACCTAAATCACCTATAAGTTCTGATATTTATACAATTACATTTTTAAAATATTTTACTTTGGTAAAATCTGTTCTGTGTCGCATATAAAGCATTTACTTGTTGGATTATATTTATTAGATGCTTATCAAAACTTAATTTTGTTTATATACTGTGTATATTAGTATTGACTATTATATAATTAGTAATAAGAATTATGTTTAACAACTTAATGTAAAATATTTTTTTGTGCAGAAGAGTTAAAAACAGAACTGAACAGTACACAGATAAACCAGCACACAGCATCTTAGGAGCTGAATGTTGTTTTACGTCCAAATTTATCAAGTTATTTGTCTCATCTGCATGTCTTGATCACTCGCACCGCATCTCTGAGTGTCAGTTCACACTGTCAGTATCAGCGACTTTCAGTGATTTTTCTGGCTCGATGGAAGCGATGGGCCGCAAGACCCCACTGCTGAGTGATACAGTTCACAGACGGAGGCGCATCGCAGGCGGGGCTAGTGGACGCACAGGCCCAGCTAGCGGGCTGCTATGCTAAAGTCTAAATCGAGGCTAAGGCTACAATTATGCCGAGAGTCCAGCAGTTGCTTCCGATCTGTCAATAACATTTACTCTCATTAACTAGACTGTGAGTGACCACACAGTGGCAAACAAGTGATTACTGAAAGAAGCAGTTCTTCACACCAAAAATTGCCGTTACAGATTCTGCCATGAGCATTTTTACTGCTACTTGTCGTCCCACACCACTGATGTGTTGTTAAGTTCTGTCCCTTCATTCATGCACGCGTCAGAAACTGCTTTGCGGTATCGGTCACAGGTATCGATATCCCCATCACCGAAACAGATACTGCGGTTAAGTGCCAGTATCAGCACAACACTAGGTGAATGTATTGTATGATGTTTATCACTGAACAGATAATATGAAGCAGCACAAAATCAGCGCTTGCTCTAGAGTTAAATGCTGTGTCTGTGTATTTTGTACACACTTTTAGAGACAAACAGCCAAAATAGACTCAGATGACCCTGAGCACACAACAGGCAGCACGGTCACTGCTTCTAGTTTAAGTTAAGTTACCCTTTATTAATCTCACAAAAGGGGAAATCCACCTCCTTCACTGGACAAAGTATCACATGGTCCATCTGTTACCTGAGTGTGACAGAGTAGACGATTGTTCCTCTCTGAATATCAGACATTCATTTTTTAGTGTTGTTTGTTTACTGTTTTATTTCTCATGAAGTTTTCTGTTCACAAACACACACATCCATCTTGTCCACACACTCATACTGTATTTACACACACTGTGTCTCCCCCTGCTGCTGGAGCTCCTCACACACATTCAGAAATCACTTCATCTCTTCATGATGTCGTCTCTTTGGTGATCAATAATACACATCATCATCATCACACTCTGAAAAACAGAAAAAAACAAAAATTACTTTCAGTACAAAGAAAACACTATTTTCAATACAGAATTAATCAGTATAATAAAGTTACTAATTTAAAAGATGTAGAACCAGTTTCCTACATGTAGCTTAATCACTATCGGCATTTCGGTTTAGTCTAAGATCAGATTTAATGCCTGTCTGGGAAAGCAGCCCACAGTGTGTGTGTGTGTGTGTGTGTGTGTGTGTACATATTTATCTGAAATCACTGTTACTCACTTTAGATCTTGTAGTCTGTTATGTTTATTACGCTGAAGAGCAAACAGCTGGTCACGTCCTGTATCTATCTGGTCATTCCCAAACAGATGCAGGTCTCTCAGGTATGAGGGGTTTGATTTCAGAGCTGCAGTCAGAGCAGCACAGCCTTCATCTGTGATATTACAATTTAACAACCTGCAGAGAGAACAATGTCTGAGTCTGATGTGGATGTAAACAGCGAAAAAAATACATGCATGCTGAGCATTCTTTCTGTTTCTGATTCCTGCATTTTTGACCCTTTTTGCCCTCATTTACTCTGTAGGATTTTCATTTGTACTTTGATGGTTTTGGTTTTTGCTTCTCTGGCTTTCAGCCCTTGCTTGTTTACAGACCCAGATCTCGGTTTCCTGATGTACCTGTTTTTTGCTCTAAAGCCCACTCATTTTACTTCCATGAGTGTCTGGTTTGTCTGCCTAACATGACAATTAACACCCAGCAGGACCCCTTTCCCACTGGATCTATATAAAACACAAGGAATGAGAACCTTTTTGTTCTGGTGTCATTGAAATGATGAAACAGTGAATATGCACTGTACATTGGATGACCATACTTCTACACACACAATACAAACATACCTTTAACCCACAACGCAGCCAACACACATTAAGACTGAAAGAAGAAAAAGGGTCCATGTGGGCCTGAGGCCTCACTCAAAAGTCCCGAAGTATTATCAAAATCAAACATGAAAAAGAGGAATCAAAGTAGTCCTTTTTAAGAGAATTCTGAAGAGATGAAGGGAAGCTATATGTTATTCCATTGGGAAAATGTCCATTACATCCTTTCCTTAATTGTTCTGAGGTTCTTCCTTTGACATCGCTTTTTCTTTCACCAGCAGCACACACATAAGCAAAACATCCTTTGGATGAAAAGGGAAGGCAAGCTTAAACAAAGGACTGCATAGGTTGAGCAGTTTTGGACTCCCCAACACCAGATATTTGTTTTTAGGTGTTACCATGCTTCTTAACTTCTACTTCCCCACCATTTTTAGGATACTAGGAATGTTTTAGATGCACTAGTTTCAGACTAGAGGTCTGGATGTATTAAAACTACCTCAATATGGAATCTAAAACATGTAAATACTGGGACAGAGGTAAATCTGTTACAAACTAATACAATAAGTAAGTAACAGAAATATCTTTTAATCCCATAACTGTTCACTTTCAGTGTTGGTAACTAATATAGCAACTAATATTAACTAATATAGTAGCAACCAGATGGATGGCCAGATGGAGATACTAATTTGCCTCTAAGTGTGTGTGTGTGTGAGAGAGAGAGTGTTTGTGTGTGTGTGTGAATGTCTGTCTGTCTGCCCTGCGATGGACTGGTGACCTGTCCAGGGTGTTTCCTGCCCGCCAAATGAGAGCTGGGATAGGCTCCAACACCCCCGTGACCCAGAAGAAAAAAAGTGTACAGGTAATGTGTGTGTGTGTGTGTGTGTGTATATTATATTATATTATGATATATATTATATTATTCATATAGTATCCAGATTTATAATAATAATAATAATAATAATAATGCATACAAATGCATGAAAAGACGGTTTTAGAACAAATATAATAATAACACAGCAACAAAGACTAATATAGTATTAAAAGGGAAATATTCATTGTACAAATCATGAACAAATATGGTCAATATTTTAAATGTTTTTTCTCTATCAGATGTCTGCAACCTATCTGGAAATGACTCACATCAGCCAATAAAACAACGTAAATATCAGACCGAAAGAGCAGGGCCAGTCAGCAGGGTGAATGGATGGCATCTCGGTGGTATAGTTGCAAAGCTAAAGCTAATGCTGAAGGCTCCCCATGCAAGCTCCTCTCCCATTCACATGTCCAACTAATTTGCCCCCCTCAGTGAGACACCCTCTGAGACACCTGTTGAAAGAGCTCTGGTTATGGGTGCTTCTATTTTACAGCACGTGAAAATAGCTATAGGGGCGTCAGTACCAGTCAGCTGTATACCAGGAGCCAGGGCGCTGTACATTAGAGGGAACCTGAAGCTGTTAACTAGCTGTAGGTATTCTAGGATAGCTATTCATGTATGTACTAATGCTGTTTATCTGCTGCAGTAGGAAATAACTAAAGATAACATTAAAGAGGTGTGTAAATTAGCCCAGATGATGTCCAATGCCGTAATATGCTTGGGCCCCATCCAAGTTTGCCATAGCACCAAAATCTACAGCAGGTTATGGTTGTTAAACTGCTGGTTGTCCAATTGGTGCTCAGAAAACAACGTGGGCTTTGTAGATAATTGGTCTACTTTTGAGGGCAGGTCTGGTCTTTTGAGTCGGGACAGCATCCACCCCTCACAGGAGCTCACTAGGATCTAAGATCTCTTGCATTCAAGGCCATTGTTGTAAATGAACTTATCACTGATCATGATTAATCACAAAAATGTGGATTCGACCTGAAGAATATGTCACTCTAAATGAAGAAGCAAGCTACAGATTTTCTTGTTTTGAAATAATTTTCTTAACATAAGTGATCAAAGAACAAATAAGAATTCATTTTTACTGATTACAATCTGCAGGCCACCAGGGCCCTATTCTGAGTTATTACAGGAATTTGCTGACTTTCTATCATGTTTAATAATGCTCTCGATTAAAGTAATACTTTTTGGAGATTTTGATATCCACCTTGATCCACTAAGTAAGGGATTTGTATCTCTCTTAGACTCTTTTGGTTTCACTTTGGTGTAAACATTTTAGCCATTCTCCCCAGAGCACAGCAGTCTCAAATCATTACCTAGTCTCATATGAAATTCACTTTAATTGTAATATATGTTCATTGCCACACTATTGTGTTAAGTGTACTATAACATCTTCCACAGATAGCAGCTTTATCAGGAACATCCCAGATCTATCAGCTCTTATCTTATCAGCTCTGTCTGAACCTACCGAACTAGACATTATGACTAAGTGCTTAGAGGATAGTTTACTTTCTACTCTAGATAATGTGGGTCCACTAAAAAGTAAAAGAAAGAGGAAGAAAAAGCTGCCACATAGAACAATGATCATCCTTGAGCTTTAAAACAGACTGTCGTACAACTAGAGCATAAATGGTGCCTGACTAAACTAGAACTATTCCAGTCCGCCTGGAGGGAGTGGAACCCGATGACGCACAATTGTATATATCGACCAAATCAGATAATAAACCCCAACTTAATAAGATTGAGGACTGTGTAAAGGACATAAAAGACTGTATGTCAAGTGATGTCCTACTACTCAACTCTGACAAACCAGAGATTCTTTTTCTTGGTCCAAAAACCGCTAAAGACAAACTGTCTAAATTAATGCTTCTAAATAGCTTCTCACCTTGGTGTCATGATCAATCCTGTAATAAAGGCTAGTTCAAGCATTTATTATCTCCAGTACCCGCAAAAGCCTCATCATCTTCAGGTGACAGTGAACAGCATAGTGTACACACACAGAACAATAAAGTTTGGATACTACTGTTCAAGCACAAATGACACTCCTATCAAAATAAGAGTCCTGAGTACATTTATGGTTTATGTTTAAACCATATATTAATTTTGAGATTGTTACATATTAATAAATGAACTGTGGATTATTATTATTATTTTTAACAAAAAATGATTATGACAACTATAAGCTATTTCTGATATTACAATTTTTAGTAGTAGTAATAGTAGTAATAGTAGAAAAAGGAGCAGCAGAATTAAATTATTATTTTCATTATAACAATGCAAAATTTAAACTTAGTTACAATTTTAGTTAGTATATTACTTCATTTTTATATTAGTCAATCTGTCTTCTCATTCTGTAAATGTACTTTATCTGATATCTACTGCATGAACAACCAATTCCTTCTCAAGTAAGTTCAGTAATAATGAAGCATAACAAATGACTTGTTACATTTACTTACTATGTTTGTTCTTGATAGGTTTATGAAAAATTACTAAGTTACTAAATTACCATATTGTAAAGTGAATATACTAAATATGCTTTCATGGGAGAATATGTGTTACTGAGGACCAAGTCGTGTGTGAGAAAGATGATCTTACTTCAGTGTCTCCAGTTTACAGAGAGGATTCTCCAGTACAGCAGAGAGCAGCTTCACTCCTGAATCTCCTAGTTTATCATTAGACAGATTCAGCTCTCTCAGGTGTGAGGGGTTTGATTTCAAAGCTGAAGTAAGAGCAGCACAGCCTTCATCTGTGATATTACACATACACAACCTGCAGAGAGAACAATGACACACTCTTCACTCTCTCAACTCAGAACACACATCAGTTCAGCAGGAACCTCATCAACAAAGTGTGACTACAGTCATAAATCAGCTTTATTTATAGAGCACTTTTCATGTATGCAGTAGCTCAAAGTGTGCTACAATAAAATAGTATGGAATGAAATAAATAAAACAAAATAAAATAAAATAAGCTGAAATAAGGTAAAATGGAAAAATAGAATGAGTTGTGTTAGAACTTTAAAGAAAAGATAAGAAAAAGAATAAAATGTGTCCAGGTTAAAAGTGGCAAGTTCCAGTTTAGAAGCATAATTATAAAAAGAGGCCACTGATGAACCACTCATATGAAAACTGAAATAGTAAGGATAAACAGGTCACTGCTGTCCCCATTTTGCCACTAGATGATATAGAGGGAGGATCCAAGTGCCTGTTTGTATTACATTACACACAAACAGCGCTGTATGTTGTATGGTAGGAGGCGATTAACCTGATAGCGTGTTGAAGGGACACAAACTGAATATGAATTGAGAAAAGTCGATTGTTGTACTTTGGCTTAGTTGGGGATCGAACTGACAAGCTCAGCCACTGGGGATGGGGGTGCTAGTGCTGCACCGTATGCTGATGACTGTAGATGCTGGTGGGCCTGTCTATGAGGTTGTGATGCAGAAAATGGCAAACAAAGTTGATGCTACCTCAGCATGCCCAAACAAAGGATACTTTTCACAAAGGGGAACTAAAAAAATAAGCCATGTTTTTCACCCACTTGAGCTGATTCATCCCTATTCTTTTCTTTACTTCTACAGCTTTCTTTTCTTTTTCTCATTGTTTTCGAGCTGTTTGTCTCTTTTTCTTTCATAGCTCTTTTTATGTACCATTTACCAGCTACCTCTCTATAAAAGTTCAGCATTTTCTTTTTGTACCTCTGGGGATTAAGTAGGTGCTCCTCCAGCTGAGCACCGTTAAAGACCCCTTTAGTAAAAATCAACTTTTTAAACTTGATAGCATGTCTAGGTGGTGTATTTTATATGCTAGAAGATACACAATGAGTGATATAAGTAGCCAATCCCATGGCTGAGTTCAACAGTGACAGTCTCAAAAAAGTGGATTCAGATAGCCAGGGTTTCATACATCACAAACCTGAGGAACAAATGGTGGGGTGAGGCTTTCCATATCATTAGCATAATACAAAGGTGGAACGAGGTGTGTTAGAGTCAGGAGTAGATAGCTATGTGTCATATTTTACAAGCTAAGTTTTGCGTTTTTTTCCCAAACAATGGTCATGTGTGACTCTCAGAGAGATGATCTTACTGCAGAATCTCCAGTTTACAGAGAGGATTCTCCAGTACAGCAGAGAGCAGCTTCACTCCTGAATCTCCTAGATTATTATAAGACAGATCAAGCTCTCTCAGGTGTGAGGGGTTTGATTTCAGAGCTGAAGCCAGAGCAGCACATCCTTCATCTGTGATATAACAATAACTCAACCTGCAGAGAGAACAATTTTTTGTCAGGACCTCTGTGCAACTAAAACAAAATAATAACATTTAACTTTGTTACAATGATTATTGCATTTCACAGCAAACAAATCAGTTGTGTATGTAACAAACTGTTCTACAAAACACAGTTAAAAATGTTGGCTGTTTTCAGCTAACAATTACTACAGCTAGCAACTATGCTAATGCTAGCTATCCAGTGAAACCAGTGAAATGCAATATGTTAAAGGAGAGTTCTTGACCCAAAACATCAAACCATACGTTTCACTTGCAAACAATGTAACAGTCTCTACAGAAGTGTGAAGATTAGTTTGGCCTCATCATTTGATTAATAGAAAAAATGAGGGGAAAACTTAACCTGGGGGGCTTTTTCCCTCAAGTTGCTTTCTTAAATGCATTCATTACATTTGTATAGTAATACAGAGTGTTTAAAGCAGGTCATGTGAGCTGAAGACTGAAAAGTACCTGTAGAAGAACTTTTTCTGCTTTTAACAATGTTAGTCAATCACAATTCATATAATGTATTTAGCAGAAATGGCCATCTGTATGACTGTATGACTGTATGATGGTTAAAGGAGAAGGTTACAAATGTTTCAAATTACTTGAAGTAGTGTGTAAATGATAAAATATATTTAAAATACCTTTTAAAATGAATTTGGAAGAAAATAACTAAAGTGGAACTTATTCAATCCAAACAACCACTGCTTTACTTTCATTAAGCACTTACAAATAATATTTCTAGATTATAAACTGTTAAAAATGTACATTAACTCCCAGACTTCACAAAATCACACAATGACATACTGTAATTTAATAAAACATCATGATTGTCACGCATTCGGCAAGAGGTCAAAGGAAAACGGACTCCATTTCCCAGAATCCCTCGGGAGATCACGTCACGGCACAACGTCCTTCAGAGATAGAGGACAACATGGACTCCATTACCCAGAGTTCTAGGGAAACTCACGTGATCACTGACTCTCAAACACGCTCCTATCAGAGATCTAGTTCCCCTGAATACTGATGTGTCACACCTGTGTAGGATGTCATATGACTCAAGCTGTTTAGTTTATAAGCCCGGGCTTTAGGTAGGCAAATTGCGAAGTATTGTTTCCTTGAGAACTACTGAGCGTTTGTATTCATATGACCGATACTCTGTTTTTGACCTGTGCTTTGTTTGTCTGGATTCTGCCTCTTGTCTTACCCTTTGGATACTTTTGCCTGTCTTTGCTGACCTGTGTTTTTTGACCCCTTTTTCTGTTATTTGGATTACGTTTTTGCTCTGCCCTCTTTGGATTGTTCGCTTGGTATTTTTTGAATACACTTTGGCCTAGTGATTTAAACTGCTGCTCTCGTTATTTTTTTATCCGCGTCTGTTTTTTTCTGTCAACACGTTACAATGATATTCTGAAAGGTTTTGTAAGTTTTAAGAAATATTTAAAAACATACCTCTTTAACTTGGTGTTTAATTAAAACTTTGTCTCTTGGTATTTATTTTTTTAAATTGATCTGTGTCACTTTCTTATATGATTTTAAAATAACACTCAGTGTCTTTTATTATTGTTAAGCTTTACCATTTTGTACACACAGCACTTTGAGCTACCACTGACATGAAATGAACATGAAATCATGATGATGATTATTATTATTATTACTTTTTACTGTAAAAAAATATAAAATATGTATTTATATATACATCTTTATGTAGGACTCCCCCTCGCCTGGCACAGTGCAGCAACTCGAAATGACATCAATTCCACAAGAGGACAGAAGACATCTGGAGGGATGTTGAGCCATGCCATCTAGATAGCTACCCAGAGCACTGTGGTGTTTGTAGGTGCAGGATCTCTGGTGTGAGTGGACCTCTCCACCACATCCCATAAATGCTCGATTGAGGTGAATGTGCAGGCCACACCATTTGTCGGAACTCTCCAGAATGCTCCTCAGACCAATTCTGGACAACTTGGATTCAAAGGCATGGTGCATTATCCTGCTGGAATATCCCATCATTGTGGGAGTATATGAAGTCCATGAAGGGCTGCAAATGGTCTCCAAGCAGTGAAACGATCAATGATGTGCCGGATATGTGTGTGGGACCTCCTGCAATGAATGTGGCTTGAACTCACTTGTCTGTTCGCATGGACAATTCTAGCCAGACGCCTCCGGTCACAATCATTAGGCACCTGTGGGTGGCCACTGTGGGTGGTAACACCTTCTATGATGTATTCCTGGTACACACATGACACTGTGGAACAAGGAATGTTAAATGCCCGCATGACTTCGGAAATGGAATTTTCCCTCTGGCTGGCACCCAGTATCATGCCTCATATGAACTTCAATAATTCACATTGCCTTACCATGAGAACACTGGCCAGTGTTCAACCTCATTCACAAGATAACAACACCTTAAACAAATGTGGGCGTACTCAAGCCGTCCCCTGAGGTAACATCTATTCATAATCAATTTACATACTTACATGCTTTCCCATGACTTTTATATATTCTTTTATATATTTTATATATTTCTATATAACAATAACAAACATGAAAGTGCTACAAGAGAATAAATCATATTGAGGACCAAGACATGTGAAAGAAAGATTATCTTACCTCAGTGTCTCCAGTTTACAGAGAGGATTCTCAAGTCCAGCAGAGAGCAGTTTCACTCCTGAATCTCCTAGTTTATTCCAATACAGATCCAGCTTTCTCAGACTGGAGGATTCTGAGCTGAGTACTGAGGCCAGAGCTGCACAGCTTTCCTTTGTCAGATTACAACTTGAAAGACTGAAGAAAACAACACACAAAATTCAAACATTAATTCGACTGATATGATAATAGCAAATACAGGCAGATTAAAATGAATGTACAACATGTTCAGACATATGCAGGAAATTAGTTGATTTTGAGTATTTGCATTGACATTGGAAGCATAATTAAACAGTGTTGCATTTTCAATATGTTTTTAAAGTTATGTCAGTTTTATTCAGTATTACTTACTCAGCTGTTCTGCATTCTGCAACGACAGGCAGCAGCTTCAGAAAAACATCATCTGATCTGTTATATTTCTGTAGGACAAATGTATCCAGGTTCTCTCCTGATGTCAGCAGTACAAAGACCACAGCTGACCACTGTGAAGAAGAAAGTGTTCTTTGGTTAACATTGTCAGACTGGAGGTACTGCTGAACTTCCTCAACTAGAGAACGGTCATCCAGTTCATTCAGACAGTGGAACAGATTGACAGAATTCTCTGCAGAGGGATTCTCACTGATCTTCTTCTTGATGTATTTAACTGTTTCCTCTTTGCTCTGAGAGCTACTTCCTGTCTCTGTCACTAACTCTTGTATGAGAGTTTGATTGGACTCCAATGAGAGACCCAGAAGAAAGCGAAGGAAAAGATCCAGATGTCCATTCTTATTCTGTAAGGCCTGATCCACAGCACTCTTGTGTACATCTGAGATTTCTTTTCTCTTGAAGCTCCCCGGTTTAGAGGACTGACTCTGTTTAAGTACATTTGTCTTCTGGGTCATGAAGGTCAGGTGCACATATAGAGCTGCAAGATGTTCCTGAATGCTCAGATGAACAAAGCAGTACACTTTACTCTGGTGCAGCCCAGATTCCTCTCTGAAGATCTGTGTACACACACCTGAGTACACTGATGCTTCTTTCACATCGATGCCACACTCTCTCAGATCTTCCTCATAGAAGATCAGGTTTCCTTTCATCAGCTGCTGAAAAGCCAGTCGTCCCAGTTTCAGAAGTATTTCTTCATCTGTCTTCTGCTTCTTTTTGTACTTTTCTCTTATGATTTTTGTCTGAATGATGAGGAAGTGTGTGTACATTTGAGTCAGAGTTTTGGGGGTCTCTCCACTCTCTGTTTCACCCAACATTCTCTCTAGAACAGTGGCTGAAATCCAGCAGAACACAGGAATGTGGCACATGATGTAGAGGCTTCTTGATGTCTTCAGGTGTGTGATGATTCTATTGGTCAGTCTCTGATCACTGATTCTCTTCCTGAAGTACTCCTCCTTCTGTAGGTCACTGAACCCTCGTACTTCTGTCACTCGGTCCACACACTCAGAGGGGATCTGATCAGCTGCTGCAGGTCGGGAGGTGATCCAGATAAGAGCAGAAGGAAGCAGATTCCCCTTGATCAGATTGGTTAGCAGCACCTTCACTGAGGATGACTGAGTGACATCATCCAATCTCACAGTGCTCTGAAAATCTAGAGTTAAACGACACTCATCCAAACCATCAAATATGAACAGAACTTTGTGAGATCTGGATATTTCCATTTCTTTAATCTCCTTAAACCGTTTATGAAGAAAATCCACCAAACTGAGTTTTTGGTCCTTCATCAAATTCAGTTCTCTGAAAGGAAGTGGAAATATGAAGTGGACATCCTGATTTGCTTTCCCTTCAGTCCAGTCCAGAATGAACTTCTGCACAGAGACTGTTTTTCCAATGCCAGCGACTCCCTTTGTCAGCACAGTTCTGATGGGTTTGTGTTGGTCAGATAAGGGTTTAAAGATGTCATTGCATTTGATTGGTGTGTCCTCTGTTGCTGTTCTCCTGGATGCTGCCTCAATATGTCTGACCTCATGTTCATTATTGACCTCTCCACTGTCTCCCTCTGTGATGTAGAGCTCTGTGTAGATCTCACTGAGAAGTGTTGGGGTTTTCTGGTTTGTTATCACCTCATTCAAACACTGAAACTTCTGTTTCAGATTTAATTTGAAGTTTTCTTGAACTTTCACTGCATCAGAAGCATGACCATGTCTGTGAGATGGTGAGACATGTGGTGAGACACAGGACCAATAATCAGTACAATACTTCTAAGATTAATATTTTGCTGACTCAGTAACATTTGTATTTTATCAAATTCACAAACTAAATTCCCCTTTATTCACAAACGTGACATATGCTCTGTGGTGTACTCTCTGTACATTCTCTTCACTTTATATGTTCTCTCTAATCTTAATCAATGTAAAAATTGATTAAGAGGTAACAGAACAAGTTGTGTTTACAACATACTGCAATGTTGGTTGTGATCTTACTCTTTATCTGTGATGATGTCTTCTTCTGTTCTGTCTCTCGTCCCCTGCAGGACCCTGTAGAGACAAAATTATATCTGCTGTGTGCTTTCATTAAAGCATCTGAACTTCAGTCTTAAATCTTCTAAAACAATTCTTTTTGAGCACAAAATATATCTGAGAACACAGTCATAACTAGAGCTTTACACATATTTAGGTATATTTTGTAATGGATACTGATACAGTGGAGGAAACATCTGCTTATATTTTCATTATAAACATTGATTTTAATTCTAAGAGTCAATAATTCTATATATTACATTTGCCCTGTCATTAAAAGTTCCTATTTGAGGGTTATTGCTTCATAAATACAGTCCCACTGTAATAGCTGTATTGTACTCTAATATAGAAAAGTATTGTTGTAAATAAAACATCACTGAAAGCCAAATAAGGCTGCAAACTCTTTATGTTCTGTGTAATATTCATTTTGAAATATTGAAATAGATGATGTGACCAATACAAATTACTCGTCTGAGCTTTTCTACTGGAAAGGATGAATCAGCTTTTCTGTCCACAATGGCTCATCTGTGAGGAGCTGTTACCTGTGTCCAGATAAGGGCTGTCCATCCCTGAACGATGGTGGACGAACCATAAAAGCATCACTATTCATAGACACACAGCTGGGTGCTGGAGAGTCTGATCTTTTATCTGGATTAGACTGTACAATAAATTTATATAGTCTTTATAATTGTTTTTTTTTTTTCATATTTAGGCCATACAAATATTATAATGACTTAAATTTTAAATACATGCCTAGTTTTAAATTTGTCTTATTTTTGGTGTTTTTGATGAGTGTTTTTTTTATTTTTATTTAATTTAATTTTCATGTTTCTTAAAGATTCTTGTAGATCATACCATATTTTAATAAATGTATTTATATTTTTATTTATATATTTTAAATGTGTGAAACTACTTGCATAATAAAAACATAAATAAACATAAAATAAAATCTCTCTGTTGCTAAGAACTGCAGCATAACTCAGTCTTTCTTAGCAGTTACCTGTATCCAGATGAGGGGTCTCCATGTTTGAAATTTGGGGGCTGACCTATAGACTCATTACTCTTCATGGACACACAGCTGGGTGCTGGAGAGTCTGATCTCTTTATGTGGATTAGACTGTAAATGATCAAAGACGTTTCTTCTGAGATTTACATACAGTATTAAAGTTCTCTTTGAGGGACGAGTCCAGTAAAAATTGCTAATTGTTTCTAGTTGCCACCAATAAGTAATATTCATGATGTCACTTGTAATCTTTACCTTTAACATGGAAAGAGTTGAGAAAATGTATTCACAAAATATTTTAGAGGAACAAAATACATAAAAGTTGATTATAACAATATACACATTTTACACTTACATACAAACACACTTACAGCAGATATACATTTTTAAACCAGTATAACATTGTAGCTCACCTTTGGCTTAAGCATGGGGACTCATTAAATGGAATTAAATATGGTTAAATTACATATATTGCTAAATGTATTACATGATCTCACTGCATTAACAACTGCAAAGATCTGTTATGATGTAAAAGAAAAAATCTCTTACTCTGAGTGCTTCTTGGAGGTGGAACTGCCTTCCTCACACTGCTCAGAGAGGCTCATCCTGCTTTTCTGGTTTAACAAAACCTGTCGGACTTAAAAAGAACAACTCTGTTCAATAAACAGCTCAGAAAAGCTCACAGAAACAGCCAGTAAAAGCTGTAATTAAAAACAGACAAATGTGGACATCATGAATTAGCAGTAAATTAAAATACAGAAGCAGCTAAACTCATTTACTGTGTACACATTCACAGAGGCAGGAGCTCAGCAGATGACACAGGATACACAGAGTCAACAATTACTTTTAATTTTACTGGTGAAGAAGAAAGAAAGTGACTTTAATGAGAGTCAGATTAATGTGAACTGCAGCAGCTGCTGATTTAGCTGTTGATCTCTTTCCTTGTTCTTTATAAAAGTTACTAAAATATTCATATAAAGCTCTTACCTCCACAAACAAGATCCTAGAAAAAGGCTCTTTAACTGAATGTGTCGTCCTTTCGTGTGTATTATATCTCATATCATAATGTCATCACGGCTCCAAAAAAACAATATTGTTCCTCTCAAACCACCAAGTGGTGCTGAACACTGGAGAAACAATTTCAGCTTCACCTGAGCTTTTCTTCACCTGAGAAATATTTCAGCTCTCTCCTCCCTGGTGTCACATTTCATAGACCTACACTCTAGTGTCACGTTCAGCTGGAATTCGTCTCTCTGACACTCTGAATTTTTCTGACTGACAACCATATTAAAGAGAATCATTTTTATTGTAAGCCTAATCATAAATACATACATATTGAAACACATTTCATTAGCTAGTGTGTCATAACTGTGTTTGTAAAGAATATGTAAATTACTGGGGTCCGTGTCCACACAGGTGGGTTTTTAAGGCAGATCTGACTGAAAGACAGACAATAGAACACATTAAGACATTCAAGTGACACATTCTTACATAATCTTTTTATATTGCAGGTTTACAGTGAATCATACAGTCAGTACTTTATTTCAGATATTAATGGAGAAGTTTAGCCTGTTAGGATCCTTTAGCTGCTCAGACTCGTTCTAGTTAAGAAGATTAATTATCTGCCCCTCAGTTTTAACTAAACCAGTTCTGAATTAATCAGTCAATATACACAGTGGTTCACACGAGCAGCAAAACTGTCTAAAGGAAGGTGTGTATATACAGATTACTTACTTCAAACACAGCCGAGCCAATCAGATTTTAGGGCCATAACTGTTTTATAACACACTTAACATACTAAAATACATAAAATCAACACTTATTGTATTTATATTATTTGTTTTTAGTGAAATAGTAGTGTTTTATGAGCAAACAAATGCTGACTGCTCTGATAAACAGCTTTTTCAATATCATTTTCTCAGGTGTGTAAAACTTTTACACAGTGAGAAAAAAAGCCATTTTGGAGCCCAAAATCAAACCTGGCATCAGAAAGTTCAAAGTCAGTATGAAAGTGAAAGTGTAGAGAACTTTCCTTACATTCTGTACATTTACATTCAAATGTTTGGTGCTTTCCACAAACAGATGGTATATAGAATTAGTACAATGCTTGGAAGAAGAAGTAACGTCACATCAGAGAGCAGTAAGGAGCAAAACACCACTGCTTTAAAGACAGCAGCCCAAAACAGAGCCTGTATTTTAGGGGTTTTCAATTGTTGGACCGCAGCTCAAATGTGGACCCAATAAAGCATTTCAGCAGACAGAACCGAGCAGAGACAAAATTCTGTAGCAAAGCTGATTAACGTGTGTAAAAATGATCATATTTCAGTGACATAATAATGAACCAGCATGCCTTCTGTAGCAGTCCTGTGCTGTGGTTTCATGCCTGCCCACGAAATTCAGTTCTGAGCACAAATAAATCTAAAGCTCAACATAAAAGATCCATGATGGTGCTCATCAATTCCTGATAGCACACGAGCATGAAATGGTGATTAAGAATAACCTTTATTACTTTTAAATTTAGTTTAATTTTATTATTAATTTAGTTTGTATCCAGACCTTTCAAGGCAAGAAATCTGATGTAAGTGAACCTTTGTAAATTTTAGTTGAATATTCCTGCTGCATCTTATAAAAAGCTCTGTACCTCTCAAAGCTGTAAACCCCTCTGGTGTTTTTTATGGTGGGACAGCTTTTCTGTCTCCTTAGTGTTTTTTCTCCTCCACTGCTTCACTGAAAATGCTCACTCTTTACCAACGTTCATCTGTACAAGGAACAAACACTTATGACACAGTATAAATAATATTAATAACAAAAGGACACTCTATAAACATGTGGGTGAATAGGTAACACTTTTTACTTTCAGATGCAAGCTGATTTCTGATATTATGAGCAACGTCGACTCTGAGCTGTGTCCAAGAACATAAGGATGATCAAGATGTGTAAAATTAATTTTAAAAAAATAAATAAAAATTAGGAGCCATAAACATAAATGGACTTTCAACTTTACTTAAGTGTCTTATAAAAATGCATGAAAGCACAATTTCAGTTCTTTTCTGTGGTACTGAATGTAGACTGATTACAAACAGTCAAGATGAATTCAATCACAGTAACAATAAAATGTGTAAAAAGGGCCTTAAAACTTTATGAAGGTGCTGAATTTCCAGAGCAATGTCAATATAAATGACTGTGATAATCAGTTTGACTGAATGCAGAACCCCATGAAGAAGATTAAAAGCAACTGGAGTCTCACCTCAATCACTGGAGAGACTCAGTGGAGATTTCTGGGATGAGAAGTGTCTCCCTGTGAAGAAGTAAAGAAAGAACAATTTATACCAAGCAATTCAATGTGGATAAATATTCACATCAGTGTGTGTCCCAAACATGACTGAAAAGTCTTCAGTGTTTTTGGGTTGAAATGTTACAATTATCAGTCAGAAAACACTTTTATTCTCAGTAATGAATGTAAGACAACACTGTCATGAGATTTTATGATACTTGAGAATAAACACTAGTAAATGTTAATTGTCTGAACTGCTTTTACGTCAAGCTTATTTTATATAGAACGCTGGGAAAGACAGCAGGGGGCGGGGTGAGAATTATCACATTTCCTCATGTCATATTTTCATTGGTCCAAACCTCCTGCCAATCACATGTATTGTTTTATTGTAAAGATGGAAATGATGAACATGACTCATTTTTACATCAGAAATATAATGTATGCAGAATATTGCAATTTCAGTCATGATGATGTTTTATATTTGCTGTATATAAAACTCTTAATATTAAAGGCAAACATTTCACAGCATTGAGATCAGCACTGCGTTTTTAACAGGTCAAACACAAAGCGTGAACAAGCGTACTGGACCTGCTGGAGTTCACATTAAACCTGCTTGAATACATTTATATTAGACCAATAACAGCATTTAACAGAACACAAACCCATTTAGAGCTCAGACCAACCTGTTTGGAGTTGAGTCCCTCCTGTTTGGAGTCCAGCCTGCAGGAAGACACACTTGCAGTGGAGGAGGAGAGTCTCTGTGTAGCTCCTATTTAATTCATTCATGCAGTGAATCTGCTTAGAGCAGCAGATAAACTACAAACCCCATATAGTTACCAGTTCATACTGAGACATCTTGCGCAGCTACGAAGCTGAAGTAGCTTCTTATTCACCAACTTATTCCAATTTCCTGTTCCACCTTAAATGGTGCTGCAGTTACATTCTGGCACCTGTAGATGGTGATATAACACTGAGAATCTCTCTGTATAGAATCTGTATGTGTATCAAGGCTGAATGAAAGGATTAAACAGAAACACAGAGACTGTCCGAGTTGTGTTTGTAGGGAATCTATTTCAGAAAGTCTGAACCATTTTAGAACTTAACATTGTGTAAAAGAAATGTGTAAATAAGAGAAAGGTAAAGGGAGAATTTGTGCTTTTCTGCTACCGTCTTACCTTCCAATCATTAAACGTCTCAAAATGCTGAACTGTGAGAAATTTTACCAAATAACTTCTTTATCAAATAAAATGATTATCTTTTAAACACAGCATAACAGACACACAGTGACACACTCACACCCACATCTAACACAGCGTAACAGAAACAAACATACTGTAGGATTTTGATATTCTGTGATATTGTCCTTCAGATGTGACTGCAACACATATTTGAGACATTGTGAAGATCAGGAGATAAAGTCATAGCAAATAAGCAGAAAGTAGATTAATTAACAGATCATTAATGAGACTAATTCAAAAGTACTAGTTAGTTCTTATGTAATTATTTATATGAGTAAACACACTAATCAGTTCATTAACAGTGAAAAATCAGCAGTTATTACACAATTAAGGAGTAAATAAGCTCTGAACTAATAAACTAAACTAACTGTTAAAAGTGAACTCGGTTACTAATTACTAAGTACATAATCAGTTACTGAGAAATAATTAATTAATCAACACTTTAATCACATTAATATAAAAAAACAAGTAGTTAATAACTTATTAAAGACATAATTAATCTTTTATATTTGACCCTTAATGTAAAGTGTTACTGAGTAAATATGTAGTCCTAGTCCTGTGCTGTGTAAATATATAATACTGGGTTTTATACTAAGCTGAGCAGCAACATTAACAGCAGCTTTATTTAAACACCATCTGTCATAATTAAAAGAAAATAAATAAGAGAAAAATTCAAATCCCACAACAAACATGCACTGAAACAGAAACTGAAGAGTCAGTGCTGTAAACCCTGATAAGCTCAACTCTGACACTCAAACCTCAGACTCAGTTCTGAATCTCAGTCTTTCACCTGTTTGTGATTCATTACTTTCTAAAACCCTGCAGCTTTTAAGTTTAAAAGACGAAGCTTAAGTCGTCTCAGACTATAATTCTGTAATCACTTGAGCTTTTAATGTCTCTACTATGTACCTGATCAGATCTGATTAAGTTTATAGTGCTCACTATATAAACATTTCGGTAACACTTTCTTTGAAGGGTGTCTACATGACACATTCATATCACCTTACATAAACACTTAATAACATGTTCATGAACGCTTAAATCAACATTCATAAACTATACATGTTTTACATGATATTAATATGGACTACTATGTCATTTTACCAAAAGATGTTTTTCAAAATAAAATTCCTCATTTTATTTATTATTTTCAGTGAAACTCCTCGTTTCTGGACTGACAACATAAAATGACCTGGCTTTATCCCTTTGGACAGAAAGTGTTTTGACAATTTTTTGCCTAGACTTTCAACTTTTTTTTTTTTCTCAAGCATTTGTATTTTGCAATATGCCATTCTTTCTGCTTTTTACACTAATTATTCATATATAAAATGTACTGTTCATTCAACACTCTATACATTATTGTGGAAAATGTTACTTAAACTAAGTTTAACTTTCTTGGGATAAATGCTAACACTGTTATCCCAATTACTTTGGAGGTTTTATTTTTAGTGATGTTCTTCCTCACTTACGGTTTTGGAGAAGGCACAAGTATAACTGTGCATTAGTTATCCTGTGTAACTGAGGTTAAATGTGACAAGCACTGTTATCACAAGGAATGATTCCTTTTTTGGCATTATGTCAAAGTACAATCGAGTGGTGCCTCTTTGACTTTCCTCACTCAGGGTGCTGATAATTTTGTAAGAAACGTCCTTTATAAATTTGCTTGCTTTGCCTTCACCATAAAAGTGATGGAAGTCACGTTATCCTCACTAAAGTGCATGTTACATGAATGGATGGATCTTGAATGGAATGGATAAGCATTATGGACCTGTCCCACCACCACACAAAGTTTGAGACTTTAAGTTGATTGACTGTTCATAGCATATTTATGAGTAATTCACTGTCCATATAGTAAAGTGACATGCAAGACAACATTCATAAGTGATTCATAGCAATTTTAAGAGATGTTTACAGACCATGTGTATAAATAGTGATAGTGATTTACAATTAAATATCTACAATTATTTTCCTTACCTTTGCAGCAGGACCCAATGACTGTGAAAAGGAGTCAATAAACACCACAAGTAGGAAGGTCCTTTTTTTTATTGGCAAGACCAACAGGCACTTAAACATGCTGCTCAAACTCAAATCAGGAAACTACAAACTCTTCTGAACATGGAACTGCAAAATACAGATGCGTTCAATAAAATCTTCAACTCTTTTCTAAAACGAAAAATAAAACATACCATCTCATGTGGCCATTACTTAAGGGTATTGCCTTCACTTTGCTCCTTTTCTTCTTAGACTGAAATTATTTTAAATTCTCTGAAAAACAAAACAAAAATATGAAGAAAATAAACAAAACGGCACAAGTCACTGCAAGAGTCTGAAGATATCGTGATACTGGCACTGCTGCTGGTTGTCTGTCCTCTTCTGGCTATACAAAGATCAAACAGGAGCAGTCAGATGTGTGGAACTCTACACGTACAGGATCAGCCTATTTATACTGGAAGCGCAGGAACGTTGTGTTAGTGGGCTAGACAGACTGTCATAGCAGAGGTATGATATATAACTAGCAGTATAGCAGTTAAATTAGCTACTTTGCTTATGATCAGTAACTGTAGCCAAGAAACTTTGCTAACTAGCTAGCAGGCTAACGCTACCTTACATTAGCTATTAAAATACATCAAGCTAATGTTAACGTCACCTAATTAGCTAAGTTACATGATTCAGTTGAACCCCAAAGATTAATAGACCTTATGCGGCTCTTGATAACAACATTCTTTTTTTTCGAACTTAAATAACTGATACCGATTTAACTTAGCTTACTGTTTTGTGGCCGTGCCAGTTGAGCTAAAGTAGTTAGTGGGCTTAAACGAGCATTACTTATGACGCACAGCAGTGCGATGCGGAGTGATACATTAAACAAGCTAGTCCCAAATGCAAGGTCCACTCTCGCTAACGTTTGACTAGTGACGTGGTCGAGGGGTCGGCGAAGTGTCAACAAAAATCATTTTACTATCCTGGCTGTAATGTGTCCCAGTATGTGCTAATGTGGTAGTATGGGCTAAAAGTATATAAACGAAAGACTTACTTTGCTCTGCTTTAACCTTTAGCTCAGCTATAGCCGCGTGTCTCGCATCTCCACCACGAAACTTTGCCAAAAAGTGAAATAATCTTATAAAAAAGTAAAGTAATTCTTGGAAAATGTCTCTCAAAGTTGAGAAGCTGAAGCTTCTCGTTCGCCAGCTTCTTGTTCGAATTTAGCCGTTCCACCTTAAATGGCGCCTGAGGTGCCAGAATGAAACTGCTGCAGCATTTAAGGGTAAATTTGAAAAACAAGCTGGCGAACGAGAAGCTGATTTCAGCCTCGCGACTTTTCAGTATTTGATAGTTTCTCGTTACAGATTAAATATATCGGGAAACCAACTGGAGTGATAATGAATTCATAGTCCATTCGTATCCAAATTACCGATGTTTGTCTTAATTTTTCCCTTCGCTTTTTTGTTAGCTAACTTACTAGCTAGCTGGGCAAGACTGTTGACTGTCCTGCTGTGACCAGAAGCCTGCAGGCCTGCAGGGTTAAAGGGTAAATTAGCAGATATAGGACCTTCCTACTTGTGGTGTTTATTGACTCCTTTTCACAGTCATTGGGTCTTGCTGCAAAGGAAGGGAACATAATTGTAGAAATTTAATTGTAAATCACCATCACTATTTATACGCATGGTCTGTAAACATCTCTTAAAAATGTTATGAATCACTTATGAATGCTGCTTTGCATGTCACTTTACTATATGGTATATTAACAGCTTCTTAAAATGCTATGAATCACTTAAGAATGTTGTCTTGCATGTCACTTTACTATATGGACAGTGAATTACTCATAAATATGCTATGAACAGTCAATCAACTTAAAGTCTCAAACTTTGTGTGGTGGTGGGACAGACCCATAATACTTATCCATTCCATTCAAGATCCATCCATTCATGTAACATGCACTTTAGTGAGGATAACGTGACTTCCATCACTTTTATGGTGAAGACAAAGCAAGGCAAATTTATAAAGAACGTTTCTTACAAATTATCAGCACCCTGAGTGAGGAAAGTCAAAGAGCCACCACTCGATTGTACTTTGACATAATGCCAAAAAAGGAATCATTCCTTGTGATAACAGTGCTTGTCACATTTAACCTCAGTTACACAGGATAACTAATGCACAGTTATACTTGTGCCTTCTCCAAAACTGTAAGTGAGGAAGAACATCACTAAAAATAAAACCTCCAAAGTAATTGGGATAACAGTGTTAGCATTTACCCCAAGAAAGTTAAACTTAGTTTAAGTAACATTTTCCACAATAATGTATAGAGTGTTGAATGAACAGTACATTTTATATATGAATAATTAGTGTAAAAA